AGACCAAACCTTGTAAAAAGTGAGTTGCGTTCAGGAAGTTTGGGGGGTGGAATAAATTTTGTTAGAAAATTAGGTAGAAGTTACTCTGAGAAACATGTGGGATACTATGATTCGCCGAATTGATGTCGACTATGAATTTCACACAATCTAGAGGAAAATGTTACTCTAACAATTGATTTTTTTCCATTATATTACAGAAAATATTTCTGTTCCATAGAATTTGATTACATGTCTATTAGTTCATTATTTGGACAACTTCTGTTTGATAAGTTTTAAAAGTCAGAGATGACTGGCTATAACCCTACATAGTGTACTTAACAGGAAGAGGTGGTAGTTAAAACGGTTTGGTAAAGTAATTATAGATTGCCATTGTTATTCTGGGTGGTACTGAGATTTCAATTCCTCCATCTGCTTTATGGCAAGCAGCAAATGAAAGCACAACACTAAGGTCGATCTTCGGCACTTGTTTGACGTCCATAGTTGATAGTTCATATGATATGAGGGAATTTTTTCGACGAATGCGTTTTCTGTACAACTTGTGCTTAGTTAAATTCATGTATCGTCTGAGCTGTATGTTCACTCTCCTATCCTACCTCAGACGTTATACTGGTTCAATATTTTGATAAAGTTCTGCTTTTGGTGTAATAGTGTTGTAGTTTCTACTCGAGAATCAGCTCATAGAGAACATGAATAACAGAAATTGGGGTAGCTTTCAGGTTAATCTCCACTTCTAACTAATTCATTTGATATGAAACAGTTAATCAGACTGCGGTTCAAAAATATACGCTCGTAAAAAATTTAAACCAAATAAATATACATAGTTACTTAGTTGACTTACGCCTGTTACCTCCCATCGGCATTCTCCATCGAACTCTGTCTTGAGCAGCCCTTTTCAGTTGCTATTCGTCTTTTTAATATCTGCTTCTAATTCTCGGTGCAGTGTGTTCTTTGGCCTTCCTCTTCTCGTTTCTCCTCAGAATTCCAATTTAGCGATTGTTTCATGATGCAGTTTGGGGATTTCCGCAATGTATGTCCTGTTCACTCCCACCGCCTTTTCTTAATTTCCTCTTCAGCTGGAGGTTGGTGTGTTCTCTCACATAGTAGGCTGTTGCTAATGGTATCCGACCAACGGACATTCATTATCTTGCGTAGAAGACATAATTAGTACATCATTCACACATTTCTGACTTGGAAAGTCTGGACCCTACTCCAATTTTAAGTCACATTCGGAAACGGACTTTGAAACTACCCACTTTCTTACTGAGACATTACCTGCTGAATATTGAGGCTTCAGGGCCAGTGTCTCTGATAGCTTCTGTTGCTAAGCTTCATACTTTCTTGGGTTGTGGCGATAAGTCTACTCCAACTTTGCAACATGAGGATGGACGGTACACTTTGAGTGAATCATGACATCTAAATCGTACATGTCCGTATCGAATGCGGTAGTTGTTACTGTTTCTTTTTTACATACATGTAATACATAGTGCTGAATAAAAACACACTTTGTTGAATCTTTTACGCATATGTCACCTAGCCTTATTTCAGGTTCATTAGTGTTACTTGAAATGTGCGTAGGGACAAAAATTGATCGTGATTTACAGCTGTTATCCAGCTATCGGTCAGTGATGAAGGTAGTACTACTCGTAAAAATCATATAATAAAGGGAACTGTTTTCGTGATTGGTAATTTCGTGTTTGTTTAGTCTAACTTTCATTAAACCAAGTTATTTTTTATTTTAGCATTTTGGTCTCAACAGTCCGTTTCTCCGGATCCGTCATCATGGTATGATCCTATTGAGTAAATCGAATTCATTATGATTTAGGATCATTTTATCATTGGCAAAGAATTATCTGCACATTCTGACGTTTCTTACGAAACTAAATTAAGAAAGTGTAAACGTAAATGTTTGTTCGAACCCATTTCAGAAAATGAAATTGATAAAGCTTATGCGGAATTACTGTCAGGTCTATCTCAAGAGTTCGCCCGTGCTTCAGCACGCTTATCCAAAGGCGTAATCGAAAACGGTCGAGTTCGTCTTTCACAAATATGTGGGAAGTATTTCCGTATAATGGGTTTCTCTCTTGATGGCTCATCTTATCTTCATCCAGAAGAAGCATTATACCTTGCTGAATGTAATAAAATCCAAGTACTTGTTAGTGGTTTACCACTGAGTATTCAAGAACTTTACGATCAGCTTTTAAACAATGAAACATATCCATACTATCTGGCCTACTCTCGATTATCACGATTAAATTTCAGTCTTCGAAAACGAGCAAATTTTGACCTACAATCATATTACCACTGTGTGACAGATAAATTATTTAAAATTCCAAAATCAATTAACGTTTCAATTACAACCTATCCACTTTTAAACCAAGAATATAGAAAACCTATCGGAAAGAGAAAGTTTGTAGACTTTCAACCACTTATTAATCATAATAAAATACATTCTATCACCGATCTTATGCATAATTTACAAGAGATTGTACAACCTGCCAGCGATAAATCTGTTAAGTCAACGAAGGATTTAAATCTACTCTATGATATTTATGGAAACAATCATACAGAGAAAAGACGTATTATTAACTTCTCTAAACGCTCCCCTCCTCATCCTGATTATGTTTTATCTGTTTTGTCACCAAAACAAATATACCCAGACATAGAATCTAAAAGTTTGGTAAAAGTTGGTCTACAGCCAGATACATCTGTTCTTATATGCATGGTAGATGGGTGTGATGTTTCATTCCATATAACCAACTGTTTTGCAATCCCAAATATTAATTTTCAAGTAACTCGTCAAGAAAATATGGCGTGGATTTAGACTAAATAAGGGATTATTTGTGTACACTTGCTTTTTTTCATACAATAAACTCAAGTCAATCACTTCAAAATCTTGTCGTTATTAGGTTTACCAGTTTCACATTCATTTTATCCAGTGAATAAGCGATGGGTTCACCTTTAGATCCTATTCTTATTCAACTTTTTTCTCGTGAACCTAAAAATTGAACCTCTCAAGGAAGTGATTGATAAGCTTAACTTTTGTTGCCGTCGGATTGATAACAACTTCATCATCGTTGATCAGAACATCAGAAAAAATCTCTTAGGGCGATTTAAAAAAATACACTCAGAAATCAGGTGTGTGTGGGGAGGAATTGGATAACAAGTTGCATTTCTTTTATGTTATGTTAAACAGAAAAGAAAATGTTCCTATCAGTAGAAGTGTATATAGGAAAAGTTCTTCAATAAGCAAGTACACACACTTTCTGAAATTTGTACCCATTCGTCACAAGATAAACCCAGTTAGATGTCTTGCAAGTAGAACTAGGGAGATATGCTCAGACAACACCATAAACAAAGAACTAGAGCACATTCATAATATGTCGAGTGAAATGAGTTGTGCACAAGGTTTTCTTAAACTCGTATATAATGAACCAGGAAATAGCAACATAGCTGGTTAGTAAGAAACCTCTCTTCCTGAAGCTACAATTCAATGGAGATATAGCTAGCGATGTACTACGAGATAACTTGACTAAAGCAATAAAAATGTTTAATTCAGATAACCTCTATATATCGTTTTCTGGCCGACCTATGGTGGTTCATCAACTAAAGAATAAGTTGCCTGGTTCTGTCACATCAATGTATATCTACGAATCCAGCTGCTCCTATGGAAAAGGCTATATCAGACGTATAACCAAACAGCTGGGTGAACGAGCTGATGAACAACTCCCTTCATGTTTAGGAAAGAATATGCTCAAAACGCAGGTCTAATCTGTCCCACTTTCTCGATAGCGGTCATTTTGTGAATAGAAACAAATCATTCCAAGTAATTTGTCGCACACCAATCGGCTTTCTTTATGGTGTTCGATCTCCTCTCTTACACAGCAGAAGCCATAGTGATTGAGCTAACAATCCACACCTCTGTGTTCATAAGAAATTCGTAACACCCTTATCTCTTCCTTGGTCAAATAAGCCTTTACAAACGACTTTACTTATATCATTAAAACCAAGAACCGATCAATGTTAGGCTACTATTGGAAATTTGGAAGCACTGGACAACTGTTTCGTCCTAATATGGGATTCCTTGGCATTGCGTGTCCACCTTCAGTGCTTCCATGTTTTCAATGGTGATGTAAAATAGATCGGCTCAGGGTTTTAATGAAACTCAATTATCTCCGCAACCCATCTTGAATATTTTACTCATTATTAACTCCAACAATTTTAAGTTGCTTATTTTTCACTCAGTGTCTTCAAATATGCTCTTCACTGTCCAATCATCCGAACATTGCGTAACTTCATGATTTTAATGAATGTTATTTCAGTATCTCTCTTTTCGAATCGGACTAATTTCTCTCATGAAACATTGATTGAAGCCGGTTTTATTCTTATCTTAACTAGTACACCTGTCATCAAACTATCAATTTTTACTTTCCACTTTTCTAAGAACTTATTAGTACAAAACCAAATACTCGCACAAGGACTTCATCAGCAGCATATTTACAATTGACGAATATCTGGAACTCAAAACAATTGTCAACCAATACCAAAGTCAGAATTTTTAATACAAATGTCGAGACAGTTCTGCTGTATGGGGCAGAAACCTGGAGATCTATGAAAGCCATCATCCAGAAGATATAAGTGTTTATTAACAGTTGTCTACACAAAATACTTCGGATGAACAAAAATTGGATAGAACTAGAAAGGAAAGCCCAAGACAGAGTGGGTTGGAAAATACTGGTCGGCGGCCTATGCTCCACTGGGAGTAACAGGCGTAAGACTGGATAAACGTCCCATTGGCCACTACTCAGTGACAGGCCAGTGTAGATCCAATAATAACAGACTCACCTCTTTGCGCTTATCTACAAGTGTACGAAACTTGTATACGTTTATCCGAAGATTGACGAGATTATTCAACTTCCGAAGCGAACTGGTTTAGAATCCACTAAGTGAACTTGAACATGCCTAGATCACTTGAATGCGTTTTCATATAAGAACATATACTAAAATAGGAAAGCTGTTATTTATTGAACAGTTTGTATTTGAAAAAGGATAAAATATCATTTAATTCAAAAAAATACAGAAATGAATATTACATTACCAAGAAAATATTGCGGTAAATTAAGCTGATAATAAGTTAGAAATAAGTAGTAGAAAATCATATTTCATTGGTGTTTTTCATATAAAGAATGTTATTAAAAAAATGAAATATTGCTTATTTGGTCAGTTGCATTTATCAAATCAAAATGACATGAAGTAAAGTACGGCAAGGTTAATGAATTCTTCATACAAATTCTGTTGTGAGGTTTTCATATATTAGAAGGTGATTGTTGACGTTGATGTTCACGCATCGATTCACGTTCAAGTATCTAACATGATGGTAAAACAAAACAAAAACATATAATTTGATAATAAATTCATTCTAATATGATGTTATGCTCTTGAACTGGGCTTAATTTCCAAAACTGCGCTAATGATATAATTTATCTGTTCAGACTGAAGTAAGATAAAATTCTCAACTAGGTATTTAGGAAATGTTCGTTTAGATTCGACTGACTCACATTCAATTAAACATAGTTCTTTTGTAGTCAATTTACCTCCTGAACTAGCTTTACCGTTAATACTTGAAAAATATATGTCAAGAATCTCAGACATTCCGATGCAGCCTAACAATTGGATATTGTGCGTTATTTGACTTCAGATTGAGGAGCGATAAGCTGAAGGATAATTTTTGTTAATTCTCATTATTTTAAACATTATACTGTGTTAATAACCAATTTTACAATGGATCAGTAAACATCTATTCAACTAGATTCATTAAAACTAATTACGAACTATTATTATTTCTAAAAAACTCCGCCTGGAGTCCCTCCGAGGGATACTGCCGGTCCGAAGCCCGGATAAAGGAGGAGGGTTGGGCATGGGGTTAGCGTCCCCATCCCGTAGAAAACGAACTCGCTAAAAAAAACGCTAACCAGAAAAAATTATTCAAACCTTTTAAACTCTGCCCTGGGAGTCAGAAGGTCTTCATTTAGAAGAATTATGACGCCTCATGATGAAAGCCGAATCCCTTCGGAAGTTACGAGGCCGATGCCCCTTCTGACAACCAGAGCGACCATTTATTTAGGTACATGGAATGTTCGTACAATGTGGGACACCGGGAGAGCCTTCCAAATTGCTGCAGAAATGAGAAGATACAACCTAGAGGTACTTGGGATCAGTGAAACACATTGGACACAAGTTGGACAACAACGACTAACTACAGGAGAGCTCCTGTTATACTCCGGCCATGAAGAAGAAAATGCACCACATACACAAGGAGTTGCATTGATGTTGTCCAAACAAGCGCAAAATGCGCTTATAGGATAGGAATCTCATGGACCAAGGATCATCAAAGCCTCGTTCAAAACAAAGAAAGAGGGTATTTCAATGAACATCATCCAATGCTATGCGCCTACCAACGACTACAATGAAGACGCTAAAGATCAATTCTATGGTAGGCTGCAGTCAATCATCGAGAAGTGCCCAACAAAGGACCTGACCATTCTGATGGGAGATTTCAATGCCAAGGTTGGAACGGACAACACTGGATATGAAGACATCATGGGACGACACGGACTGGGAGAAAGAAACGAAAATGGTGAGAAATTTGCAAATCTATGTGCCTTCAATAACCTGGTCATAGGCGGCACCATATTCCCACATAAACGCATACACAAAACCACATGGACTTCACCGGATCACTCTACACAAAATCAAATCGACCATATTTGCATCAACAAAACGTTCAGGAGGACTATAGAGGACGTGAGAACCAAGAGAGGAGTTGATATGGCATCAGATCATCACTTGCTAGTCGCCAAGATGAAATTGAAACTCAAGAAACACTGGACAACAGGGCGAACAACATCACAAAAGTTAAATACGACCTTTCTTCAAGATACTAACAAACTCAACAAATTCAAGATAGTCCTCAGCAACAAGTTCCAGGCCTTTCATGATCTACTCAATGGAGAAGGAACTACTGTGGAGAGCAACTGGAAGGGGATCAAAGAGGCAATCACTTCAACATGTCATGAGGTCCTGGGTCACAAGAAGCACCATCACAAGGAATGGATCGATACACTGGATAAGATTCAAGAAAGGAGGAACAAGAAAGCAGCAATCAATACCAGTCGAACAAGAGCAGAAAAAGCCAAGGCACAAGCTGAATACACAGAAGTAAACAAACAAGTGAAGAGGAGCATCAAAATCGACAAACGTAAATATGTGGAAGATTTAGCAACGGCGGCGGAAAAGGCTGCAAGAGAAGGAAACATGAGACAATTGTATGACACGACAAAGAAACTCTCTGGAAATCGCCGCAAATCAGAACGACTAGTGAAAAGCAAGGAAGGCGAGGTAATCACCAACATTGAAAAGCAACAAAACAGGTGGGTAGAACACTTCAAAGAACTCTTGAATCGACCAGCTCCACTGAACCCTCCCAACATCGAAGCAGCACCCACGGACCTCCCAATCAATGTTGGCCCACCAACAATTGAAGAAATCAGCATGGCCATCAGGCAAATCAAGAGTGGCAAAGCAGCAGGAACAGACAACATTCATCTCTCAATACCTGGAAAAGTCTTCAACAGAGTATTGTTAAACAGGATGAAGGACTGCGTAGACGCCCAACTTCGTGACCAACAGGCAGGATTCCGTAAGGATAGATCGTGTACAGACCAAATCGCAACTCTACGGATAATTGTGGAACAATCAATTGAATGGAATTCATCACTCTACATCAACTTCATTGACTACGAAAAGGCATTTGACAGCGTGGACAGAACAACACTATGGAAACTTCTTCGACACTACGGTGTGCCTCAGAAGATAGTCAATATCATACAGAGTTCATATGATGGATTACACTGCAAAGTCGTTCGAAGTGAAGACCGGTGTTAGGCAATGTTGCTTACTCTCACACTTTCTCTTTCTCCTGGTAATCGACTGGATCATAAAGACGTCAACGTCTGAAGGAAAGCGCGGGATACAATGGACATCTAAGATGCAGTTGGATGATCTAGACTTCGCAGATGATCTGGCCCTTTTATCCCAAACGCAACAACAGATGCAGGATAAGACGAACAGTGTGGCAGCAGCCTCAGCAGCAGTAGGTCTCAATATACACAAAGGGAAAAGCAGGATTCTCCGATACAACACAGAATGCACCAATCCAATCACAATTGACGGAGAAGATTTGGAAGATGTAAAAACCTTTACGTATTTGGGCAGCATCATTGATGAACAGGGTAGATCTGATGCAGATGTGAAGGCGCGGATCGGCAAAGCAAGAGCAGCATATTTACAACTGAGGAACATCTGAAACTCAAAGCAACTGTCAACCAACACCAAGGTCAGGATTTTCAATACAAATGTCAAGACAGTTCTACTGTATGAGGCAGAAACCTGGAGAACTACGAAAGCCATCATCCAGAAAATACAGGTGTTTATTAACAATTGTCTACGCAAAATACTTCGGATCCATTGGCCGGACACTATTAGCAACGACGTACTGTGGGAGAGAACAAACCAGATCCCAGCGGAGGAAGAAATCAGGAAGAAGCGCTGGAAGTGGATAGGACACACATTGAGGAAAGCACCCAACTGCGTCACAAGACAAGCCCTCACATGGAATCCTGAAGGCCAAAGCAGAAGAGGAAGACCAAAGAACACATTACGCCGAGAAATGGAGATAGATATGAGAAAAATGAACAAGAATTGGATGGAACTAGAAAAGAAGGCCCAGGACAGAGTGGGTTGGAGAATGCTGGTCAGCGGCCTATGCTCCATTGGGAGTAACAGGCGTAAGTAAGTAAGTAATTATTTCTAAAAGCTAAGTCCTAACTTAAAAATGTTTATAGAATTCGATAAGTCTCATTTTGGTTTGTTATTGGAAAATTGTGAGATTGAAGTAGAAATATCCATTGAATTCTGAGTACTTAATCGATGCTATGTAGGAATTCAGTTTGATTTAAACATGACTTTCCATATTGGATAAGTCTAAATTGATAGGGTAAAAATTATTTATAAAATACAAGATACCCAATATGGTCAACAGAAAATGCATCACTAAATATTGTATTGGATTCAGTAGTCAAGACTTGAAGAAATTCAATTTTTTTGAATGAGTACGCATCACTTTCTGTCCGTGTGTAGATTTGCATAATTTCGAAAAACGATTCTATCTATAGTTCTTAAAATAGTATGGTTTGTAGATAGAATTGTTCTCTTACACTAAACAGGTTATAATCATACAGTTTTTATTTTCATAATGAAATAAGATTATTAATATTTGTTAGGTTAGCTGAAATAAGAATAAAATATCTCACAGAATGTTTTCTACTAGACAGGAATAGTTTAATAAAGAATTAACCGTAAAGCGTGCTTGATTGCTAGTATTATTTGTTACTAAAAAGTTTGAGAACTCAGTTGTTGTTGAGATATATTTGCATGGTATATTCCCTATTTCAAGAAGTCATGGCACTCATGAAACCTGAAATCGAATTGTATAGTGCTATAAGAGGAATAGTTACAAGGAAAGCCTTTCCGTTCGTAATTCAATTTAAGTAAGCTTGAATTATACAGAAATAAGTTTGACTAGACGAATCTAAACAGCAATCATAGTATAAATGAACGCATTAATAAACTAAAAACACTATTAACTAAGTAAATTACCTTAAGGGCTTCTCGTCTACGATGCTCTAATTTAGCTATCTGAAGTACAACAGAAGTAGGCGTATGCGGAACAAGTGCACTGATCGCAGCACGTGTTATGATTATTGCATGCTAGTAGGAAGAGGAGAGAATGGTCGATAAATTATTACTGTATATTATCTGGTAGCTTGTTATCCTGTAAAAAACTCACATACTTGAAAAAATTAATTGAAAAATTAGACATAAAGATTATGGATCAGTATCCTTCCAACAATTCACAACACTACGTTGTGGTGTTTCACAAAACAACATTTATACTTGATTCACCCATCGACTGATTGATTTCAGTCACAGGCTAATAAGATAGTGGATTATTCGTAAACTACTGGTTGAATGATCTACAAAATTAAACGTACTTAGTTAAAATTTTGATTACAACAAAGCAATAAAAATTATCCACTGTTGCACTAATTTTACAGCATCTAGTACTTCATCATACTCTACATGGATTATTCTGACTTTTGAAGAGATGAATTAATTTATCCTTTTTGAGCCAATATCTGCACATATTTTGACCATGTCAGTTATTCGCTTACAATCGACTGTTTTTATATGAACGTATATGCGTGTAAAACTGAATAATCTATGTAGGTGTGACAAAGTACCAGACGCTATAATTTCACTCATAGATTGCTATTGTTAAAATGGACAATTACTAAAATAAATGTTTGTTTCATTTTCAGTATCATAATTTTAAACTTTTTAGGGTTTTGTATATTCAGCCATCCTGATGTAATATCTGCATTTGTACGGTGTTCAAATAAAAATTAAAGTACGTTTGCCCGTGTCTACATTGTACTGTTACTAATATGATAACAAAATAGAGGCCTGCTTCAAAATCTGGGGTATCTGTTCCTGCCATCTAGATATTTCAACAAGTTATCTGTTTCATTGTTTATTTTAACAGATCATTATGTCAATTAATTGCAAAACTTATTCAGGTGCATTCGTGAAAAGTTTACGACCTTTCTCGGTACAAGTTACGAAAATGTACAATCGGAAATATCGTGATTGTTAGCAATATGGATTGAAAAGAATGAACATTATTCAGATGTCGATTTCTGTAATGCTAACGTCTAACTGGCTATTGCTCAATATTTATCATCAATATCAATGAACAAATAAGAAACGGAAACTCATTGAAATATTTTGTGCTGAGAGTTCTATATTACACCAAAATATAATATTGAATAAAGCTAATAATAATGATAATATGCTAATTTATTCTTCATTCACAATCTCAACAGTGTAATCTAAGATAATATAATGCTGTCAACAAATCTTTTCGACTTATTTCACATAATAAATCACTTCAAACATTACACTATAAGTGCTTATTGATTCAATATACAACAGTCTGTTCAATGACCAGCACAAAGAGGTATTGAAAATAAATAAAAAAGTGACACAGATGTAATTTTAGCTAATTACAAAACATATTTTAAAAGAGAACATTTAATAACAATAACATAAACTGCATATTGAATGTATTGCTCAACAAAAATAAAAGAATAACCATATATTTTATTATCTGTCTTCGCCAGTCATCTGACTTACTTCAATCAGAACAAGAAAAATAATCAACTGTGAAGCAGATAAATTAGGAAACAGACGTTGTACAGTTCCAGATATGCCAAGTAAAGCAATATTCACAATGACAGCTATATAGCTGACAACATCTAATGCTAACTATTTGAAATATAAAGTAAAAGAAAATAGCCATATACTACTGAGAAAAGTAATAATAAACACTCAATTTGTTGAAATAACATGTGTTTTGTTATTGGGGTTCAGTACGATCTACGATGTTACAGATTCATGAATGAAGACGATTGGGCTTCACTAATACGATCAGTTCTCTTCGGAACTGACAACAGTCAATTATGCTCAACACATTAAATCTTGACAGCTAAGATAGGAAGAAGATGGAACTGCAGGTAGCTTGATATTTGTGGTAGAACAAGAGACTCAAACGAAATTGGTACAAAAGTTGTTACTGTAATAGCGAAATATGACCTTCGAGCATATGGCAATTCAGCGAACTAGAAAACTCAACAACCAATCGGAGGGCGAAGGTCATGCGGAAAATCGAATCGGTAGAAAGTACGCCAGCGGTTATCGTTCCAGAAGAGATCTTAGCCTTTCTAATAAAATCTAACTACTCTCGCGACCGCCTTAACATAATAGTATAAATGAAATGTATAGTAATGATTATGAATGATAAACGTAATTTATTCATTATGTGTACAGGTTGATATTACTCAATTTCGAACTACATAATGTTGAATATGATAGCTAGTGGCTTCCTCAACCAAAGTAGGTGGATCGTGGATTCAACCTAAAACCTTGTGGTTGATAGTTAAGCGATTTACCCACTAAGCCATAGTTCTACACAATTCACATTCCAATAACAAAATTTCTTAATTGTCTAGATAGAGGAAACCTATAATATGAATTCTAATAATGGGAACCAGAAGAAGGATATAAATGAACAGAGAATAGAGATGTTGAATCAAAATAGAAAGATAAATACGATAATGATACAAAGGATGATTAACCATTTTGGGTCTTATGATGTTAATGACAAGAGACCTTCAAATATATACTATCCTGTTAAAAGTATCCACTTGGCAATTTGGACGGATGTATATATGTACCGGGTTCTACAACTGACTGATTGGTGCGTTATTCGATAGATGACAGTAAAAGTGAGACCATAGAAATGATCTTGAGATGATAATAAATATCATAATCTATTACTGAATTCCGTAAATATCCTACTGACAAATAAGTGATATACGATATATAAATTAGTTGATTAAAAATATAATTACAATAAATAGTATTAGATGGCAAAGTGTTTGAAATTGATAAGAAAAAATACATTAACCAACGAATATAGGATAGACAGATATTAACTACTAAGTCTCTAAATTGTATTAAATCTTAGTAAAATGAATACGATACTACGAAAAAAAGAGAACAATACTTACTTGCCAAATACCAATACTATTTGCAAATTGACCAAATGGACGTTGATAACTAGTTGATAATTTATATGCATCACCTCGTATTTCAATTACATTATTCATAAAAGCCAATAAACCGGCTAATGGAAATATGCCAGTAAACATACTTACATAACCGAATTGAATAAACATTTCTAAAAAATCATCCGTTGGATCTTCATACTATGTGTAAATTGAAAGAAATCAACAGAGAGGAAAGAAAACTTGAAGAAAAGACTCTTAGAAATATATGAGATTTTCAGTAGTGTCATCTAAAAAAAAATGGACATTTAAAATGATATTAGTTAAATGTAAATAGTGAAGATTATTGAATTCATTAGTCAAGTGTGGGATCCCATTTTCAATTTTGAATCGTATGTTTTGTGTATTTAAGAGTTAATTGTACTTTCTAAAATCTTAAAACAATATTGATGGAGTCGATGTCATATCCCGATAAGAAAATAATGAATGGTAACTTCTGGGATCTATTTATGGACCAATACTATGAGTATATTTTTATCGTATGATTGTTATGTAGCTAAACTGTTCATATTCAGGTCGCTCTTATTCTAAGCTTTAATTTGACCCATGGACTATTACTATACGATTTACCATTCTTGAGTTATGGCCTGTCTATTAATTACTATCTCAGCCACTTTTGGCCAAATATTGTACAAGTGTTGTTTCATATAATAAGGTACGTTGTGGTCTGTTTGATTGGTACATAAACCGCGTATGTTTGGAAACAAATGATTCATATTGCAGAGGCTGAGATTAGTGTTCTGGGCTTAGCTGGCTGGGCTAGGCAGGAAGCGAGACCAATCAGGACTCTAGGCTGCTCGTATGTGTTTTATGCATCATGGTTCGATCGATAATTCGCTGTTCTCTGATTGGCGGTATCGTTGCGTTTGACAATAAACAGGGCACACAGGTTCACAAGTTAAAACAGTCGAGTTATAAAAAAAGTCACCTAGTGATTTAGAATCAATTGGCTAAAAGATTAGTCCATCACTCGAAATCTATCAGTCTTATATTCATTGCCAAATTCTAAAATAAACGTTTATAAGTTTGTATTGATAAATTTCGGGAAAAAATATTCATAATACTTATTCAATTACATTAAATGATCAATATGTAACTAATTAGGAAATATGGATAGTATGTAGTGAACAGAACACAGGTGAGGACAACCGAATATAGTTAGCACACAATTACAGTTACTCGGTAAAATAGAAAAACCATATAGTAAGTCGTTAATTTGCAAAATATTAATCCATCAAATCAAACCGGACTGTTCCTGTTGCAAACATCAATCCATTGTCTCACATTTCATTGTTCATGCGTTTTCTTACAAATTGCATTGTGTTCCCGCTCTTCCTTTCTTGATCTTCCCCCATCTTTTGCTGCCAGATATTACGCTTTTAACTCACGTCGTATACTACTTATATCAATATAAGTAGCACGCACCACAAGTATATCGTTTAAAACAAAATGACATAACAAACCTTTGGACCAACATAGAACTATATACAATAGTGTTCAGCTTGTAATTTGATGCCCTAAGCGTTAAACTGTTAATTAATAAGTCGGAACTTCAGATCTCACTATGCCTAATACAACAAAACTGATTGTGACCGGAGAATAAATTCACTGATGGAATTTAGTTGTTGTATAGATCGATATGGTCTATTTCAATTCGATAATTTACTGGATATTATTTGAATTAGAAAATAACCGAGTGGTATAAGTTGCATTTTAGAAAAATAACTCCAAGATAGCTAAATATATATACTCATATATACTGAGATTTATTTCTAAAATTTTGGTCTATGTTACTGTGACGACGGACCACGGGTGAACTCGAGGAAGCTGTAGGAGGCTCAGAAGGGGCCATCCAATCACCTTTGGGGAGAATATTCTAGAATTCCTCCATGTAGCTTCTCGATTGGATAATGCTAATAATCTCCTGTATGCGGATTGGTGGACTGTGATGATGATTTCGTTCTTACTAAAAACTATAAATACCTGACAATTTTGTACTATAATTGACACTGTTTGGGAATAATATTCCTTTTATTAGTCTTCTGTCTTCACATTGCGACTTAGAAGGGTTCTGGTATTCTAGTGCTTACGTCATATGCGGTATATCAAGAACAACCTTCTAGATATAACAGTTACAGAGTACTGACAAACAACAATCATTCTGTCAAAATTCAAACACTGACTATGGATTGATAGGTAAAAGTGTTAATTATAAGCAAAGATGGATAGTGGCTAGCAGTGGAATCCAGGACGCGCGTTTCATCCTGTTTGGGACTCGTCAGCTGGATGTACCTGCATCTCAGAGTTGATGTTCACTCTGGGACTCGAACTCAGTTTATTTCACTTGATATTGTTTTATTTGAAAAAAAGTGTTAATTGTTTACAAATTAATATTTATTACTTACACGTAACAATGTAGCTTCTCTCTCAGCGGGTGTTATTCGTGTTTCTTCTGAATTATCTACACATTGAAAGTTAAATAAACAATGTTTAGAAGATACATAAATAGATAATATTGAATATGTTATATATATTACCATTACTTTTACAAGTTATTTCCTTATAGTTTCCTTTTATCTTGTAATAATACATGTCAGTTTGACATTAATACTGAAGATTTATACAATTTATAATAGATTTATCTTGTAGGTCGTAACATAGTATAATGATCTGATCCATAAAAAAATGGGTGTGAGGAGTTCTGGTTATGTTGCTTCTTTTAAACTGTTCAGCTCAATTGTTGACTGATTCTTCTTTTTTCCGATAAGCTAGTTTACATTTCCAAAATATTTTACATGAATGTTTGTCAATATTTGAAGGAACAATTTAACAGAAATTGGGTGCTGAGAACATAGAAGATGCGATATACAAAAATATTTGTTTGAGATAATCTCAGGAATTGAAATTGAAATAATTCAAATGTTTCGCTCATCAAGTTTGTGTAAACTTCCTCAGGGTAGGAATTTGACTATTTTTACATATAATATTTCAGATCTATGTTCTGCATTCAGTGAGTTCCTTATCAAGAAACGGCACAGTTAAAGATCACTTTACTATTCTGATTAAATTTGTAGCTGTAGCAACAGTGTCGGTAATCTTTATATAACACTTTGTACTTGTTGAATCCTAATCGAAAGCAAACTTTGTCAATGGTTTTCAAGTTGTAAGGCTTCTGAATATCACCAGTACTTCGTCTTGATGTCTTAGAATGCATAGAGCAGATTATAAGTTTTGTATTAAACTTCAACTTGGTATTCAGCCTTTCACATTTGACAAAGAATATCATAAAAATACACTAATTTACGATTTAAAATAACACGTTTAGAAATTTACTAGTACATAGAATAAAACACGACAATCTTACCGAAAGATTTTGAATTATTGTTTAACTCATTTTTTTCAGTGAATTTTTGGATTCGTTGATGGATAAGGATTTCTGAATTCACATCAACATCCATCCTGGTTATGTTATTATCAACACATTGACTTTTATTTTCAGGCAATATTGAACATTTATCAACATCTGAATCTGTGTTACTGGGTTGTGCTAATGATAACGATGATGATGATGAAGGGTTGGATGTTGATAATGAACCATTATTATCTTCAGATTTTAACTTATTACGTTCAGCTAAGCATCTCTGTTCATATTTTAATGATAACCATACTTGTCGTAAACGTGAGTGACCAAGTGGTAAAAAAATTTCTCTGATTGAATCAATTATTTGCCGAGTAAGTAGTAATGTTACAAGTTGCTGGATATATTCGGAAGAAAAACGCAAGAAAGAAGAGAATAATTATAACAAAAATAAATTAGGTATATATATATATTTCAAAATCATGAATAAATGAATTCCAGTAAATCAATTATTCTTCTATACATAAAACGGCTTAAACTTACTGATCATTTTTTAGTAAACAGCTTCATGTGGTCAGTTTGTTAGAATCAATTGAACCCTGCCGATACAATGTAATCACTAGTATAATTTATTTGACATCATGATACACTTTCTTTAATAATTCGGAACGTGGAGGCGAGTCGTATTTAAAATAACCCATTGATAACATTTTCGACATTAAAACTTCGTGACTAAGGTACAAACCTAACAAAGTATCAATTTGTTCAAAATTTCTGGCTTTCTACGGGTAACCCACAACCATCTAACAAATTAATTAGTGAAGTGAACTGAGCATTGAATATACTCGAGAATTTAAAGCAGTTCTACCTAATAAAAACAAAATTCATTGAATAACATCGAGAAGATTACTTATTTGATAACCTTTCATAGCTACGTCGTCGAATTTACACAACTTAATAACTGTTCAAGATTATAATTTATTTTATAGTTTTATTTGTCAATGAACAGATAATTTCTCCATATTTAAAATATACCAAATCAATTGTACATGCAACATGGGCTAAAAAAGGTAAAAATATAATTCAATAGTTACATCTTTTGATAATAAATTCATAAGATAGTGTTAACGGTGCATAAAATTAAAAAAAAACTACCATTAAGTCCCATTTAGATTATGTACCCCAAAATGCCCTGGTATGACCGAGAGTGGTGTAGGCCCGCCCACCCTCTCGAAATGATCTCACACCGCCACGCGTATATAGCCTCTGCCAGGGAAGTCCTACTCACTGCATTCTCGTGACATTACTGTTGTTTACGAAAATGGGAGAATGAAAAGAGAATGTCCGGCGCTTTAACCGGATCCCAAACCAATGATGCACATGGGCTCCAGTATCCTGCGGGAACAAATGGCGTATGAACCAAATGTTGGTCACCGGCTACCATGGGACTGCACCTCCTCACGATGCTCAACTGCATTGTAGATCAGACCTTCAGGTCGAAGGCTCGAGGTGTGACCCCCTAAGATAACCACCTGCTTCAGTCTGGGCACCCGGGCAGTATCACAGTCCACACACACAAATATGGTGTAGTGCATATATACTTGGCGCCCTCTTGTACCAAAATCTATGTGTTAAAATAAATAAATAATTAATTATCATTTACTTTCTACTCAAATGCTCAATTTATTTGAAACTATCAAGTTCAACCTTGACGTTGATACCGACAAACCTAAAAAAATGAAATGTTTCATATTCTTTGATTAGCTAATCATTGATACACAATATTCATCTCAAATATATATTGGCCTATATATTGAAGCACAGAATACTGATTATTAATAAGTATCTACCCATAGAATTATCACTAAAGTATATACTGACTATGTATTTTATTAAATGAGTGTTTTATTTTCTTTATCTAAATAATTAAATGACGCCAAGAATTTGTAAAACTGTTCTCTTTTTTCTTTTTGTTTAATGGAAAAAAATCTCCCAAACCAACCGAATAGTTGTTCATTGAAGTAAGAAAAAAAACATGATGTATCGAAATATGCTTATTGTATTTTGTTATGCATGAATGATTACAATGGGAACAGAGATATATATATTTGGGAAGAGATTCATAGTTGTAAATTCATTGAAGAAGCACACAAATATATATAACAAGTCATTATTAAATAAATGGCATAAAGTACAATTTAAAAAGGGAAAACAAGATACAAATATTTATCTTTTAAAATAAACAAAAATAGAATAATATTTTTCTTCTTCTTCTATATACTAAATCAGATGATATGGTAGTATGTTCACACAAGTATGTTATTATTTTAAGTGTTAAATGAAGTAAATGCGAATATTGTCGTAAAGTATTCATTTGTTTAAGATATCATAAGTGTTTTTCTGAAAATTACTAAAAAGCTTTTAAATATATTCTATGGTTTATTGAAATATCATGTTTTAATGCCTAAATTCTCTATTCATGTAACTCATGTAAATGACCATATAGGTTATGATGTTATTTAAATATATAAGTAGACTATCGTAACCAATGGTTGAAGACGCTGGGTGACATGGCTCAGAATCGATTAAAATGGAGTAGGTGTATACACTCTCTGTCTTCTCTTAAATTATGTTATTTATTTATTATATTTATTTGAACACATAAATATTGGTACAAGAGGGCGCCAAGTATATATGCACTACACCATATTTGTGTGTGTGGACTGTGATACTGCTCGGGTGCCCAGACTGAAGCAGGTGGTTATCTTAGGGGGTCACACCTCGAGCCTTCGACCTGAAGATCTGATCTACACTGCAGTTGAGCAACGTGAGGAGATGCAGTCCTATAGTAGCTGGTGACCAACATTTGGTTCATACGCCATTTGTTCCCGCAGGATACTGGAGCCCATGTGCATCATTGGTTTGGGATCCGGTTAAAGCGCCGGACATTCTCTTTTCATTCTCCCATTTTCGTAAACAACAGTAATGTCACGAGAATGCAGTGAGTAGGACTTCCCTGGCAGAGGCTATATACGCGTGGCCGTGTGAGAGCATTTCGAGAGGGCGGGCGGGCCCACCCCACTCTTGGCCATAATAGGGCATTTGGAGGTTTTCCATGGTGGTCTAGCTTCAACTGACTCATGATCTTAACCATTGAAATTACTATAATATCCACAAAACCTATCTTAAATTATGAGATTAAAATCGCTTCATATCTTTCTTTCTACCAACTAATTTTTTCTTCCTGTACTATATCCTTATATGCAATCTTTCTTTTATTTATTACCGCCATTGAATTAACTACTTCTGTGAATTCGGTGTTCATTTTGTTGTGCTAATGAGGTATGGCAACCTTGACCGATGCACATATGTGTCTAGTCCTACGTTGTAAATGACTGGATGACTCAGAGATTTCATTCAATTTTCTTTTAAAGTAATTTTGATAATGAATATTGCTATTCATTAGTAAAATAACTAGGAATTGAAGAGTTGTGTTATTTGATGGTTTTTCTGTTGTAGTATTGAAACTCTTAAACAGTTAACATTCATAAATTAACAAATAAATAAACAGGGAAATTTGAAGTATCATGGAGTACATTTTAACTTAACTTTTATGATAAAGTATGATCTTGTAAATAAACTTTATCCTAGACATATTGTGATCCTACTGATTACAGTTGTGGTGTGTGCTACTTATATTGACATAAGTAGTATATGATTTTAGTCGTGAACAGAAGTTCTGGCAGCAGAGAGACAAGAGGATCGAAAAGTAAAGAATGGAAAGAAAATGAGATTTGTATGAAAATGAAAGAACAATGAAGTTTGAGTCATTTTGAGACAATTGATGGACATTTTGTAAATTAAGCATTTACTTTATGAATGTTAGATTTTATTAACAAATCCTGTAATTTTGTGTTAAATACCTCCGATTGTCCCCACCCGTGTTTTGTTTACTACATAGTATTCTACTTTAAACGATTAGATTGTAGATTGAAACGTGACGTGATTTTTTTTAATAACTATTATCACTATAAAACGTGTGAATTCGAAGATGCGAGTAAGTAAAGTTTTAAGTAATCGGTGAACTAGTTGAACTGTATTTTCATAATTGATTGATCATTGAGTAGTCATTAATTTCATATTTGCCTAGTTCTTTTGCATTGATCGAATCTTATGGATCAAGTTGATGTTTGGTCGTTTTCCTAATGAACTCAACCTTGTGTATACTATGTTGAGGTGTGTGGTAGTTGAAAATTGTCATCAGAATACCCTAGATCTCTGTTTCTTTCTATTTGGCACTCGTCAGCAAAGTGTACGTATGGTCTTGATGGAAATGATGCTAATTGTAAGATTGCGACCACCTAACATCTTAAAGTAGTGCAGAAGATGTTGAAATACGTTGCAGCTTGATCGACAGAGTTTGGTCAGTATTAATGGATTACAAAAAATGACATTGATCACTATACAATGATCAATCAGTTACAAATACCCAGTTCTACAGGTCAATCATGGCCAGAATAGCTCAGTGAGAATTTCCCACACAGTGAAAATGATTTAAGCGGGTTACAAAACGACCATATAAGCTTGTATGTAATAAAGGAGGTAACTGAACTATAATGCCCTTTAATGCAATGAATATTGTTACGAACAAACAGAAAATTGTGGTTGACATTTTCATAGTTTCTCTAAAAAGTAAGTTGTTTCATTACAGAACGAAATATAATTACGTAAATGAATATACAATGATCATACGCCGACAATCAATGAGAATTCTAAATAAACTAGCAAGTACATAAAGAAAACAAGAGTCGATTAAACGATTACTTATCACCCAATGTCTCCAACCATTAGATGTGATAAACGCATAGACTTCAAACAGGTAGTTTTCATACACTAATATTACTCAGTTCAATAGTAAATGACTTTATGAACTGATGATATTTCTTGGTTTGGCCGGCACCACTTTTCTTTCAGTCGATTTCCATGTTGATCAACGCCATTATTCAAAGGGGGCGGTAACTGGCATACAATATACACATGAAAATCACCACAGTCAATGAAGATAACTTAGTTCATCAACCAACTTTTAGTCTTTATCTAGTATCCCAATCTCAGTATTTCTTTGTTGATCAATAAAATATGGACTCCGACCTAGATCTGTCTATTTCAGTTGTATCAATCCGGTACTATTCCTAGCCTTGATACAAATAATATATACTATTGATTTCTCTGGTTGCGTCGATTCAATTCAAAATACAGTCATTTTTGTGATAACAGACTTTACTTTACTTTACACTCTACAAAAATGTAACACATGATTTACACATCACGAATACGATACCTAACTACATTGTGTTGAAACATAAAAACGACAATAATAATAAAAATTATGCTGTGAGAAATGGAGGGTGAGTTTATTGATTTCATTATTTTTGAGACAATTTTCGTATGTCATTAAATGTTGATTGGATACTTCGCTACGTAATAACATTGAATGTTATTTGAAATTAAAGTATTAGTTAGACAGATGAATTATCTACAAAATATATCAGAGACTAGTTAGTGCATTTTGATTGGATTCATTTAGATTTATTGTGGATTCAGTAATAATAATATTCGGTATGGGGTTGTGGAGATCATTAAGTTTTTGATTGAAATCATGAACCGATTGATTTTAGACCATCATTGAAAATCTGGAAGCACTAGACGACCGTTTCGTCCTATTGTGGGACTCCTCAGTAATGCGCATCCACGACCCCGCTCGCCGGATTCGAACTCAGGGCCTTCGGTAACGCGCGCGAACGCTTAACCTCTAAACCACTGATACCGCGAGCGGGATCGTGGATGCGCATTGCTGAGGAGTCGCACAATAGAAAGAAACGGCTGTCCAGTGCTTCCAAATTTTCAGTGATGGTCTAACATCCATCGGTTTATGATCTCAATAAAAAAATAACCTGTTTGTATGAAAATGGAAGTAAGTACTCGTGTTATGTGTTGAATAGAAGCGAGATATAATTAATTGGTGAGAACATATTGAATTTTCAACAAACTATAGTTGAAAATGATGAATTACTCAAACTGGGAATACATTGTCTGATAACTGTCTTATATTAAGTACTGAAGACTAATAACTTAATAAGATATTAAGCTCAGTCTAGTTATTTCTTGCATTTAATACAATATCTTTAGATTACAATATAAACGAAATAAAGCGATTTCAATTTTTTTTGGATATAATATAGTACATTTTAACGTTCAACCTGGATAACCATACAAATCTCTCGATTAGTAACAATAATTGCATTCTTTTGTAATGAGAAGCTGTGATCAGTGTTGATAAAGTTGGGGGTGAAAAGCTGACCCCAAAGATGATATCGAATCGCGCACTGACTAAAATTGAAAATGATTTTGACATCGAATTCTGTCTGATTAGTCTAAATGAAGGCACTGCAGATGGTCCTCTCTAAGGTCGTTGAAGATACACTATTGAAGGGCTCCTCAATGATCATTTACTTGATCCAGGTTCATTACGTAAATCATTGTTTTCAATGATATACTAAGATTTTTATTAAACTGTTATTAATTTAAAAAATTGATATTATAAATACAAGGAATAACTTTAAATCAAACGTTACCTTTCTTAATAATTCCAAATCTTTCAGATAAAATGCTGTGTAGAATAGGGAATAAAATGAATTCACAAATTGAAGCTATTATGGGAAAAGGAGAGAAAAAAGGAAAAAGTGCAAAAAATTATTTGAGTATCGGATTGTTTGCGCAAAAATACAATGAGAATGGTAATGTTGCTCGTAAAAAGAAAATAACGACGTATTCAACTCTCTCGCTCCTTCATACACACACACACACCTGAAAAAGTCAATATGAACTATTCGCTAACGTTCGTTATTTTCAAGGGTTTTAGATTCTACATATTTTATTGAATATAACCAAGTTATAGAGTGGTTATGACAAATGTCTATTGGATGGTAAACCAGTGCTTAATATTTAAAGTAACCAATATAAGGCGTGTAAAGTATAAATACCCCTGTTCTGGTGGAACAGGAATCCATGTGAATTCAGCAGCAACATGATATGTAACCAATCGAAAATTAATCCATAAATGAATGAATAGACCAATATGAGGATATAAGTCAAATACTACGAACATATTGTTGTACTCGGATCCGAATAATACTGTTTATGCGATGGCTTATTACACTACTTGGTGTCCTAAATTTAAGTAAGCAGATCAGCGGTTGAATCCGCACCCCACGAATTGAAGGCTAAGTACATTATTTACTAATTCAACATAAGAAAACTTCAAAATAAATGATAGCCTTAGAAATAGTAAACAAACTATTCAATTATGATAGAACTGACATTTTTGACTAGGTAAGATAACACTTTGAGTTTATTTCCTTTAGAAAACTTACAGACAATACTCTGTATAGTAAGCAAACCATAACTTAACAGAACAGTAAAAAATAAGTCAAGAAAAAACAGAATAAAATTGATTACACTAATCCTAAACTTAACGAGAAGATAGAGAAAGACCTCAGTCTTTTTATTTACAAACATGGTCTACCGATAAAGGATCAAGACATTTTTTTAGTGTATATTAATACGTTCTGGATAGTTAAGAATCATAACTTCTTAAAACTTGAAATATTATCATTTTCAATAAAGAAAACACCTCAATAAAAGAATTTATAAATGGTGAAGATTATATTGTTAAAATCGAAAATTTATACACACATACAGTAAGGATAACTGTAAATAGTGGGAGATATTTTACAGTGAAAACTGATGGTCACAGTGTTTCTTAATTAAATCACAGAGTAATTGTTTCCATGACATAACCATATCCTTTTTTAGCCAAACAAGTTTATTTATCGCAATATCTATCGATCATCAAATTGATTGTCCAATTATATCTTCGTATCGATTAATATTGCCAAAAAATATGTAAACACGAGAATAATACCACTAAGCAACAGTTATTATTTGTTAATTCACAGGTGTATATTATAATTCAGTATCATATAGGATAAAATTATTATCATTTGTAAATCCAAAGATTATGGACTCGGGTTAATCAATGAATTTATGATACTTACAGGAACACTGATACAATAAGTTGACAACTAATAAACCAAAATGAATTACAATTAACTGTTACGACATGTGATGTCCGAAAAGTGATACTGATACGCACTCTTCCTATACATAAGCTCGGGTGAGGAAAGAAGTTTACTTGGGTTAAACCGGGTCATGTGTAGATGTACTCATTTATATTAAATCTTAACTGTTTACATCTCATCCCTCACATAAAAAAATTCCCCTCCTTGACCAATTACGTGCATTTATCATTTTGACGATTACTGATTAGCTCAATGTATCACTAACAATACTCTCCTCCCTGAAATATCAAACAGTGGTCAATTCAACTCTTGTACAAAAGATTTCAGTTTATTCATTAGCACAAATTTAGTAGTTAAAAAAAAATCAAATATCACATAGATGAAGAAAGAATTGATCACACTTATATAACATTGTTCTAAAACATGAATTCATTACGGGATTTACATTAAGTGACTGCTTATTTCATTGAGCAGTAATATTTAAATTAACATTAAAAATTTAATTACCAACTGTAATTCCAAGTGTATTTTTATATTCTGTAAAATTAACTAGTATTTCGTAGTGTGAATGTGTGAAAGTACATAATTTGGTTTTCTAGGTGAAACGACAAGTTAGACTATTATTATTATTGTTATTATTATGAAAAAAATATTCATATCTAAACAATAATTCCTCATTTTATCGCATTTTAGAAACATCAGAATTATCTAACTTCATAAGCGATGTACAAGTGGAACTCAAAACAACTTTCAACCAATATCAAAGTGAGAATCTTCAATACGAACATCAAGACAGCAGTTCTACTGTATGTACGGAGCTGAAACTTGGAGAACTACAACAACCACAATCAAGAAAGTACAAGTATTTATAAATAGCTGTCTTCGCAAGATACTCAACATCCATTGACAGGATACCATCAACAACAGCCTTCTGTGGGAGAAAACAAACCAGCTTCCAGCTGAAGAGGAAGTTAGGAAAAGACGATGGAAATGGATAGGACATACATTACGCAAATCATCAAACTGCATCACGAGGCAAGCCCTAACTTGGAATCCAGAAGGAAGGCGGAAAAGAGGAAGGCCTAAGAACACATTACGTCGAGAAATAAAAGCAGATATGGAAAGGATGAATAACAACTGGAAGGAGCTGGAAAGGATTGTCCAGGACAGGGTTGGATGGCGAATGCTGGTGAGCGGCCTATGCTCCTTCACGAGGAGTAACAGGCGTAAGTAAGTAAGTAATAAGCGATGTACGTGGTATTATGATAATAAAATAATTTACGGGAGAAATTTCACTACGAGATAACATCATTTTCAGAAACAGTAAAGTTGTATTATGAGAAATAATATGTGTATTCAGTTATGTAATGAATCGAAGTCATAGAATGTAATTTCCGTTTATAAACAAGATAATTCAGTGATTGAATTCTTAAACCGATGATAGTAAATAAAACAATATAAAACTAAATGGGAAAGACACAAATATAACATGCAGATGTTTCAGTTCCCTTAATCAGTAAACTACGACAGCATTGTACGCTCATGTAACGGTCCACCAAGTTTTAATTAATTAACAGAATATCACTAATCTTCACGTAGAGCGTGTTGGTTAAAGTCCAGTAAATAAAAATATACTTAGTTAATGAGTTACTATTTATTCTTCACAAAAACATTACACTTACCAAAATCAACTTGACTACATAATGATTATTGTAGTCATCTTCTAAACGATGGTTTTCAAAATCTGTAAGCCAAACAGCTATTTTTTTATAACTAAAATCCATTATTGATATTGATACAGCCAGGAAAATCTAAATAATACAAATGTGAATGAAGTATCCATTGACGTGATTTTAAATTAGATTATAAAAACAAACATCCAAATAAAATTTAGAATGAACCAGCACAAAGAAAAAACATGAACCACAAAATCCTTTAGTACGATGCCTTTTATATTGTATGTAAAAATATCCATTAGCTTAACGAGATTGATATATATATATATATATATATATATATAACAGAGGAATGTAGCTAATCAATCAGAGGTTTAAAGTCAAGTACCTATGAGTTAACATTTTTGAGAAAATCGAGCCCCTCCATCGGTGGCTGATAGCGATGTGATCTATTTGGGTCCAACATTGGGACGAATTCGGGGGTCGCCATGTCAAAAGATGTTTTTCCTTATGCTTAAAGTTAGTATTTGCAAGAAAAAGGCGGTTATCTGAACATAGCTGCAACAGATGGTCGCCATTATCTGTTCTTTGAGCCACGACGCTATAAGATCCACTCAGGTGTCTTTTCCTTTCGCTTATTTTACCTACTTGCGCATTAAAGTCACCAGCTACTATTACTACATCAGAGCGCCTAGCTTTTCGAAGAAGGTCGGAAAGCTTTCTGTAAAACTTATCTTTAACATCATCTGAGCTGCAGTCAGTGGGAGAATAAGCAGAGACGACGAAGAGGCAACGACGAGTGTCCCTATCTTTCGGAATCATTACTGTTCCGTTTAGTCGGACAGCGCACAAACGACTGTCTACTGGGATCCACTCTAAGAGAGCTAGTTCTGCCCTAGGACTCAGTGCTATGCCTACGCCGGCGAGTCCACGAGAAGCAGCATCTGGGCTTCTAGATACACGAAGTGTGAATCGAGTTGGTTCTTTGTTTTGACAGTGATGTCAAATGAATGACGCTACTCGGATCCTGTATGCGCGTTTCGGAGACGCAGCACACATCGATGGCGCGAGATTCTAAAGTTTTAGCTAAGGAAGCCTGTTGTCCAATTTGGCACAGCGTTCGGAAGTTAAAAGCTCCTACATGTAGTTTAGAGCGTGGTTTCAGGAGACCAGGAATAACGTTCCGCGTACTCGAATCGTTTGTCTTAGCGGTGCGAGGTGATAAAGGGACGTAAGAAGTGTTAGTCTTGGAGATAAGAGAGGTATTAGGATGTGTAGGAAGGATTTGAATGTAACCAACTTGGTCTCGTGTGCTGTTACGGTTATGAGGGCTGACATCACTTCCCGGCTGGCCACACCGTAGAAGGGTATTTCTTGAGGAACCTGGAAAGGAAGTTGGATTAATGTTCGCCTTAACGACCTGGGAGCGTGACCGCAGAGCCCAAGGGACAACTGCTTGAGGCTGGTCGCGCACGGCCTTTTCGTGGAAGGTTTTTGACGTGTTAGCTCCGTTCTTCAAAGGGCCTTACCACCGGAGACGGAAATCCGTGAGGTAAGGTGAGGTGTGACATTTTTAGGGTCGACCTTTTCTAACCCTGTCCTTCCTTGTGAGAAGGCAGCATCGCTGCAGATGCTGGTTTTCCGAGGGAAACACCTTACTGCTATCACACCTCTCTACAGTCAGCAGTACGACTTCGCCCTCAGACCTTGAGTTGCTGCTTTTAGTCTTACCGTTCTCCAATCGACCTGCCTGGCATAGCAGAACCTACAGGAACATATGTTCCACCCAATATAGCTCGGTTGGGTCATCACAATAGGCAAGCCCGACCACCGCGTCAAGGTAGCAGCTTCGGTCGGGATTTTAAAGCCTTATCAATTTCAACTATGTATTACAGTAAATAATAGATACACATTTTTTATTCCATTCAGTATTCTTTAACTAGTAGACCTGACAGTATCCTAATGAAACAGAAATTCAGTACTCATTTTATCAACTGTCAAAAAGATCATTTATTTATATGGTACTTAATTTCATATAAATAAATTCTATATAATAAACAAATGATTAAATAACCTACTTTTGGTGAAGTCACCAATATAAAATTTGGTATAATAGATGTATTATTATCAGCATAAATATTCATTTTATCTTGTAATCGAACATACATTAATGTGATATAAATAACAATAATTAATGAAAGTAGAACAATAGGTGTAGTAATAAAGCATAAAATTAATAAACGTTTCCATTTTGAATAAGTACGTATAGGTCTCCCGGTAATTGGGCATAAAGATAATTTACCCTAATTAAAAAAAGCAAACAATAGGAACATATAAATGAACATTTTAAAGTATTGAAATACAAGATTACAATTTCATTATATATACATATAGATTATATAATAAAGGAATTGAATATCTCAAGTAGGATATCTATGTAGGTTATTCAAATGGCGAAGATATCTATAAATTTGGAGCAATGTCTTAAAACATATACCATTTAAATATTCAATGAATTTCCCACGTTTCTTGGGTTAAACCGTACTTCTTTTCAGTGTTGCTTTGTGCCAGTAATCACGTAAGCATTCTTATATTCATTAAGAAGACAGAGCAAAACGTTACACAGTTTATTCAAGTCTGACAAAACAGCTTTCATAAATGTGCATCAGGCTCAACTACTCATACTTCACATCAGTAAAGAGAGATAAAATTAACATGATATATAATAAAGATGTCAAATTAATGATAGTCTGTGATTATGGAAAAGAGTGGATTATAGAAAACAGTGTGTTTGGATTATAACTAACACTTTTCAGGATATGTGTTTCGTCTTATTTTGAACTCATCAGCTGGATGGATATATTATTGAGCTAAAACTTGTAGCGGGAAGATTACATCGAGACATTTACTCACGGTGTACGTAAGTCAACAAAAACAGGTCATAATGTAGTCCTCCTTATCAATAACATGATAATGCTTTTATGTAGAAACGTAGGGAATATAGTTCGAATAAAAAATGGATTTAATCAAGGAATAAAAAGGTTAAGTAATGTTTTTAACTTGAGAAAAATAAGCTATGGATGACTGTACGTCACTGTGATCAATATTCAGCTACCTTCCAATGAACTTATTCAAAAGACTTTGTCATTTAAGCAGTAACAATTTGTTTATATCTTGTATTATTATTATTATTATTATTATTATTATTATTATTATTATTATTATTATTATTGTTATTATTATTATCATTATATCTATATGAACAGGTATCCTCGATCAAGTGACATAGCATACACAACTATCCCTCTTACTAGCTTAAATATTTCTTACTTAAATCGCTGGATGACTTATTCGCCTTCCTATATATATGTGCTTAAATCTTAGTTCATCTGACACCTAGTTCGCTCTCTTGCATTCATATTTCTTCTTGAATTCGCTTTCTGTTCTTGTGGCTTAGTGATCTACTCCGCACATTGATAAACTGTAGTCAATACTGCATGTTACCTTCTGAAATTTATAAACTTCTCAGAGTTATCTGTTAACGGTTATGAAGACGAGTGCTATACAGAGGCTTAAAAACTGTATCGAAGATAATCCACTACAAAGACCTTGAAATTTCAAACGAGAAATTAGCAAAAGATAAAACTATTGGTCAGTGAATATTTTTAAGAAAATCAAAACTGTCATTTTTAAGCGGTCAGACAAACTAGTTTTAAGAGAAGGTGAATAAGGAATTTCCGAATAGATAAGGCTTTAATAATTCGTGTTTTGGTCTCTCTGTTTTCAGACGTACCATTTTGCAGTCACTTATTTTATCGTGGCCTTAATATCTTACTTTGTAAGCTTTTTGACATGTGTTCGTTCATTGTATTCATCAAGTAGACAATTATCTTTTAAACCTCACTTCTATGTGTTAATTCCATTCTACTAAGTACCTTTATTCAACACTTGAGGTTTTTGAGTAACTTTCAGTATCTTGATCAATGACTCAAGAATTTACTACTATGTGTAAAATAACTATGAATACCCTTGTACAGCTTTAATAAATGATCTAGCCGAAAAGAAACCTTTTTATCAATGATTAACAAACAGTATGAATCATAAGATAATTAATGAATAATCAAAAGTGAAAATGAAGGTCAAAAAACAAAGAATGATTGACCTGGTTCTGTTCGTTAAGCAGAGTCGCACAGAATCCATGTCATCAATGGTTGCATATCACGTGTGTGCAAAGTGGGGTATATTTACAAATAGTCTATAATTAATTAATTTCTCTGAAAATTCACGTCAAACACCTAGTTTGAATATGTTTGATAACTAGAAATAGGTATTTCAGCGAAGATGTTATTAACGATAAGATGCTAAAAACTCTTTGTAAAATATAATTTGAAATTATATTTTCTTGGGGTACAATAAAGCCATTGAGTTGTATACATTTGATTTATGCGAATTACTTTATTGGAAAATCCATTGAGATTTAAAACGAAAGATACTGGGCTTCAGATGTAATGTAAACACTAACACTGAAATTCATTTAAATCCAGCTCATGAGTCTTAAATAGAACGAAACGTAGATCTTCAATTCAACTGTTAGTGACAATCCAATTATTCTATAGGATTTTATAGTTTGGATAAATGGACGTTAATAATATAATAGAGGATAAAACGAAAATGATAATACTGATTCTAGTACTAATACTACTAATAATAATAACAGTAATCAAAACGTCAGCAGTAAGTGACAACAAAAGTAGTAAATAACAATGTACAATAATTCTTATTATATATATAATAGAAAGAAATTCTTACTTTAAACAATGGTCTAGGCTCTTCTAATAATGAAATTGGTGTATCCCATGAACCCCAGCGATAAGCTAAAAATGAACTAGTCCTTTTCCAATGTTCCAGATATAATGATGTCCATATTAAATTGATAATAGCCATTAATAAATAATAAAATGAAGAATTTTTCTGTATTTAAATTAAAAATTAGGTATGTAAGAGAGAAAAAAGGAGAATTATATTCTGTCAAAAAGAAACTTGAGATCAAATAGATTAACGGTTCTTTTTCTTACTAGGTGGCTTTGTGAAAATTATGTGAAAATCGAAACCAATGCTTACTATGAACTGACGCTTCGGTTAAAGAAAAGTTTTAAAAGTACATCGTAGAGATAAATAGTTGTCTGATCCTAGTCTCAAACACCCTAACAATCTAATTTTACAGTCAACCACAATATGGAACTGAGAAACTTCAGATCTCCTGGCAAAAACAATAAAAGCTTAGAACCTAATAGTTAATATGGTCTGATTCGGCCATTTGATTAAACAGACCAGAATTACACGGTCGCATTATTGAGTTGTGAACTACAATTTAATGGTTTCTTAGTGGTTCTTTATTCGATATCCCTATGTATGGTGAAAAACATCTTTGAATTGTTTTCTAAAACCAATAGATTTGTTAAAATATATCATTTAGAATCTTAAAACAGTAATAATAATAATACCAATAATTACTTATTTATGATACACATGATGCGTACCACATATAGAAGACGTGTTGATAGGACCAAATATTGAAGTACATTACATAACATTTAACTATGTAAGCGAGTAGCAGTTTATCTATCTTTACGAAAAATGATACAAAGAAAATCTCTGTACACAGAACATTTTAACAGAAAACAGCTGGTCTACAAAAAATGTTTCATCAATAAAGAAGTCCTATCCAAATTTCTAACAAATTGTGAGCAGTCGATAAAATGAAGCTTTCTATACATCAAGTTAATATAACAACATCAAACACGTTTATTTCACTAATTCATAGAACTCTTGTTATATCCTAGTGAAAATTAAACTACGGGTAATTCCCCAGACCTATTAATGGACTAGTATTATATATATATATATATATATATATATATATATGTATATATATATATATATATATATATATTCCTATTGTATAACTGTTCAGTAATTAGATTATGTATATCTATATTTCCCTTATTTTAAGCTTTGTTTTGATCTGTAGATTATTATTATACGATTTACTGTTCCTAAATTATGTTCAGTTTATTAACTACCGTCTCCCACGTTCACAGTCACTTTTTGGTTTGATCTTGTGTAAATGTTATTTCCTATTTTATGGTATGATAAGGTCCGTTTGGTTGGTATATAAACCATGTATGTTTGAAATAAATGATTCGCATAGTGGGACATGTTACTGGTGTTCTGGACCCAACTGGACGGGCTAGGTGAACAAAGAACCAATAAGGACGTTAGGCTGCTCATACCGGTCGAACGTCATTGGTTTAGCATAGTACAAGAGTGAATGAATCGTATTTAGATTGGCTTAAAGTCACAACAGAAGAAAATAAGTTAAGGAACATGTAACTACCATTCATTCAAAAACTAACCTTAGAAATTGTAGGACTTATCCTATCAAATTAATCTTGTCATTTAATCAATGAAAATCAAATTACACTAGAGCGTTTTAAATGGAGGATCAACTTGTCAATACTATTAAATATCAATACGAAATACATAATACCAAAAATCAATAATAATAATAACTTACGTTAGGATTAACAAATAACCAAACAGCAAGTCCGACAACTGCTGGAAATATTAATGAATATGTATAATGGCCAAGCCATGCAAAATAGAATGCAACTTTTGTACCAAAATATTCTTTAATTTCATCTAATGGTTGTAGGACAACCCAACGACGAATCCAAATACTAGTTAACTTATTTAATTCACTTGGTTCGTGTAATGGAAATATTTGTAAGATAATACCAGCGGATTGAAGAGATGGAACTAAAATTAAATACAGAGTATTTTATGACAATTTTCTGAATCTCCGAATTATTATAAATACTATTTTCATCGGTTAACTACGTAAAAGAATATGTAAATTTACAATGACTTTGTGGTTAAAAGATTTGAATTTCAATCATTGGATTGGAATCTCGAATAGCATTACAACTGCTTCAGTTTGACCCACCAGGAAGTGCTGTTAACCCTAATACACATATAAACGTGTTATTTGGGACACGAACTGATTTCAGTTAAACAACTGTTAAGAAGTTGGAAACACTGAACAGTTGCTCAGTTCTGGCATGGGACCATTTAGCGATACTGAGTGCAAATCTTCCAGTGTTTTCGATGAGTACCTTCTTGATCCTCACAAGTGAATTGTTTCGAGAGGAAATTTTCAGCGTTCTAGTGAGAAGCCGTGACCATTGACATTCTACCCTGTCATGTGCGAGGAAATCACCCACCGAAAACAATGGAAGATGGTTACGCAACATCGCGGATTGACTGAAATTAGACTTCTACGTCATCGGATGCGAACTCGGTCGTCAAGAGGTTAGGTGTTTCCTTCGAGACCAAGGGTCCTGTGTTTGATACTCGGCAAGGAGTTGTAGATGGGCAATGCCGAGAAGTCTCATGCAAGAACGAAATGCCTGTCCAATGTTTGCAGGTTTCCAATGGCCGTCTAACTTGGATCGATTCGTGATTTCAATAACAATGAATGATCTCCATAACCTTATAGCGATAATTAATTAAATCATAATCGGAGTCCTGCTGTGTAGCCGTGGAAGCTGAGTTAATCATACAGAGAGTAAGACAGTAACTCATTGAAGAAAACATATAAAAGGAACATTTACTTCAAGTGGAATAAGATTATGACCCAAATGACCCTTCTGAACCCGCGAGGAGATTTTGTCAGGCACCAACCCATTTTTATTTATTTATTTATTTGAACACATAGATATTGGTACAAGGGGACACCGAATACATATACGCCACACAGATCTCATTTGATATGTGTGAGGGCTGTGATACTGCCCGGGTGCTCAGACCGAAGCAAGTGGTCTTCTTAGGGGCCACACCCCGAACCTTCGACCTGAAGGTCTGATCCACAAGGCAGTGGAGCAACGTAAGAGATGCAGTCTTATGATAGCCAGTGACCAATTATTGGTTCATAATTCATTTGTTCCTTCAGGATGCTGGAGCCCATGTGCACCATTGGTTTGTAATCAGGGTTTTCCAACTCCCCTAGGTGGACTCTTCGTGTCCGCCAACCCGGTTAAGGCACCGAACATTCACTTTTCGTCCTCTCAATTTCGTAAACAACAGTAATGCCACGAGAAGGCAGTGAGTAGGACTTCCCTGGAAGAGGCTATACACGCGTGGCCATGTGAGAGCATTTCTAGAGGGAGAGCGGACTCTCCCCACTCTCGGCCGTATCAGGGTATTTGATGAGATTGTTGAATTTCATTAAAATCATGAACCAATCTAAGTAGGACCATCGTTAAAAATATAAAGGCATTGTATGGCAGTCTCGTGATAGTATGGGACTCCTCAACAACGCGCATCTACGACTCCATACGTACATTATTATTATTATCATTATTATTATTATTATTATTATTATTATTATTTAGTTATCTCACTTAACATTTGTTTGAAGCACACTTTGATGAATCATATAATTCTTAAGCTTAAGTAATGTTGAATTTCAATGGTTTAGGCATTCATATTAGAACCATTCAGTTGTACTTTTAAAACTTAGCTTTTTATTTATAAAGTTTTGAAAAGCTGGATAAAATCATTAACATAAGGATATTCAGTATGTCTAAAAACAGTATGTTTTACAATTAAACCAAGTAAAATTACACTCTAAAGTCAACAATATTAATCTCTGAATCACTCAATTCAGTTTTTGGTAACGAATATTTTAACTTGTTGCGATGCCTTTTTTTAAAAAAAGGATAATAAACGAATTAGGGTAACATACCTAATTTAAAATAAGCTACATAGTAATGAAAAGTGATTCATCTTAATATCTGTCAAAAATCTTCAGTATATTCACTGATAACATTTATCTTTAGCACATAAACTTATGAACAAAGTATATTCCTTTGGAAAATCTCCTGTCAGATTTTATAGTTAATAAATTCAGACTAATTTTTCAATTGAATAATCACTTTTGAGGTGTTGTTTTTTCTTCTATCTTCTCATTGTTATTTTAGGACTTAGTAGGTAAGTGGATAACGCGATGGTGTTTGAAGCGAACGGTACTAGGTTCGAGTCTCAAAGTGAACATCAACTCTGAGATGCAGGTATCCCTAGCTGACGAGTCCTAAATAGGACGAAACATGCGTCCGGGTTTCCACTGCTAGCCACCATCCATCTTTGCTTATAATATTGAATAAGATATTTTAGATTGACATAAAAATAAATCATTTATAATAGCAAAATATGCCTTGGAGAAAACTATTTCTGATTTAAATTAAATCACGGAACTTACTCATACATTGATCATTAGCAAATTTAATGGAACACATATCGGAATCTTCGCGACAAGCACGTAAACTCATCAGAAAATGATGAACAATATTACTACGTTCACTGGTTGACAGAAAAAGTTTCTCATCCATTACATTATCGAATAAACTGAATTCATCAACTGAAAATTCACGTAAGCCACCACCATGTTCAGGTAATAGAGACTTTTTAATTCTTAATTCTTCAGCACCTGTAAGTAGACTTTATTTTCAAAAGATAAACATTGTAAGAACATACTACTACTAGCTTTTCATAAATAAAGTAGTATGAAGTTTAGTACAACAATACGTTAGTGCATAAAATCATCCGAAGGGAAGATGGTGTACTTCTTTCGGTGATAAGACGTTATTAATAAGTGTAAATAAATTATGATTCAACTGATAAGGTGTTTCACTCATTGAAGTTTGAATTTAATCACAGCATTTGGAGGTTCGATGCAGCAGGACAATTTAGATTTCGTAAATGACCTAGCCCTTCTATCCAATACACACTAACAAATGCATGTCAAAACAACCATTGTAGAAGAAGCCTCTACAACAGTAGACCTCGAAATACCCAAGGTTAAAAGCAACATCCTCAAATGCAACAAAGAGAACGCCAACCCAATCACACTTAATGGTGAAGCTCTGGAAGAGGTGGAAACTTTCACATACATGAACAGCATCATCAATAAACAAGGAGGATTTGATGCAAAGGTGAAAATCGACGAAGCAAGGGTCGTATCCCTGCAGTTGAAGAACATATGGAACTCAAAACCACTCTCAAACAACATCAAAGTAAGAATCTTCAATACAAACGTACAGACAGTTCTACTTTACGGAGCTGAAACTTGGAGAACTACCACAACTATCATCAAAATGGTAGAGGTATTTCTAAACAGTTGTCGACGCAAGATACTCAATGTCTACTGACCGGATACCATCAGCAACAGCCTACTGTGAGAGAGAAAAAAAATCAGTTTCCAAATGAAGAGGAAATTGGGAAGACAGTGGAGGTAGATAGGATATAAATTACATAAAGTATCAAACTGCATCACGAAGCAAGCGCTTACCTAGAATCCTGAAGGGAAACGGAAAAGAGAAAGGCCAAAGAAAACAACACGTCGGGAATTGGAAGCAGACATTAAAATGATGGATAACAACTGGAACAAGTGGAAAGGATTTTCCAGAACAGAGTTGGATGGAGAATACTGATGGGCAACCTATGCTCCTCCACGATGGGTAACAGACGTATTTAAGTAAAGTTAGGATTTTAATTTATTTGGTTTTTTGTGAATTTATGCATTGTTACACTATGCAGTATTGATGGTCTTAAAATGTTTAGTGATTAAACAATATATTCCTAATAATAACTACTTTAGCTCCACAAAGTTAGGATAGTCCATAAAAATCGATTTAAAATGTAGCTTTTTACAGATAAAGAATTGGACACAGGCATGAACCTCAACTTTATTTCTCATTAACACGTTTCTGAGGGGCCCATAGTTAATCACTTGTTTTACAATACATTGTTTGGTCTTACAAACTATTGTGGTGCGTGCTACTTATATCGATGTAAGTAGTATATGACGCGAGTTATAAAACGTAATGTCTGGTAGCAGAATATGGGAGAAGATCAAGAAAGGAAGAGCGACAACACAATGCAATTTGTAAGAAAGAGGGCATGAACAGTGAAATGTGAGACAATGGATTGATGTTTGCAACAGGAACAGTCCGGTTCGATTTGATGGATTAATATTTTGCAAATTAACGATTTACTATATGGTTTTTCTATCTTACCAAGTAACTCTGTAATTTTGTGCTAAATACAAGTCGGTTGTCCTCACCTGTGTTCTCCTTCACTATACTATAATCTCGAAAATAACCACATCATATTTAAGGGAGGTTTAGACTTATTGAAGTTTTTCAGATTTCGCTGCACTGAAGCTTTCATGCTGAAAGGTTTTATTACTTCTTTTTCAAGTTTGAGTGTTACATGTTTTTAAATGACGTTTTTTCTATATAAGAGAAACATTTAGGAGAGCTTAACCTTTCGTATTTGTAAATGTCTATTTTTTTATATCAAAATTTTCCAAATTAATGAAAAATAAGGCGCATAACTTTGAAAATCAGTACCACTAACAGAGTATTCGTTATTTCTTCCAGGTGATATACCCACACTAAGCACAATTCTAATAGTTTGAAAATATTCTTACATTTTACACATGAACAATTGAATTAGCAAAACTTAAAACACTACATTCTCATTAAATTAGTAATTAATCTTAGAATAATTTTTAAGACAATTATTAGTTTGAAAGCAAATACTACTAATAATAATAGTAATAATTATAATAATAACCCAAAACTGTTAGAAAGACTTGATTTATTAAAATTTTGTGTTGCTCAGGTGACAGTGGTGTATATCATGTGAACAATAAATTCAATATTTATTCTACAACTCAATAATGTAACCATTAATTACGTGTTTATTGTACTTATATATGCAATATGAAGAATTCAAAGCAATTGAATACAGTTTATGGTCAATTAATAAAAAATAAGTCGAAGAATGTATTAACTAAATAATATAGACAATTAGAAAAATATTTACCTGATTACACATACTCTAGTTATACAACTTGATTGTATCACTAATCTTTACTTTTTTTTAGAAAAAAGAATGTAAAACTGAACTATATAAAGCAGATAATTTAACAATGCATAGTTTATATCAATAATCAGAAGTATAGAAACATGGATATAAATAAAATGATAGAGAAGACTTGAAGCTCAGATGAATGCAGTACTGTATTCTCTGAGCAAGATGATTTGATTTTGAAACTTTCAATGTAGTTCCGGACATATTCCAAGCTTAATAAATGTGAAAGTGCGCTTCCCAAATATTCATGCAGTAGAGCCACTACAATAGAATTCAATTAACAACTGAATTGCCATTATATTTATAACCATAAAACAGAACTTTCTCAGGTAAATGAGTGTATTTCAAAATCATACAAAACAAACTGATAAGTAGTGTGAATAAACTCCGGTAAATCCGCATTGAAAATAGCTATCCCTTAGTCTTATTGACAGGAAATTGAAGTTAAGAACAACAACATGAAAGATCTCGTACAGTCAGTATAAGATTCTTTCCATAAACATTAGTTTTTAATCCGATATTATATAAGAGACCTTGAGAAACAGATTTTCGAAATATTTAAAAGAAAGCATTAAATTATGCTGAGCTTCATATTTTATTTTGAATTAGCCTATGATTAATATGTAGAAGATGAACTCCTGTTTTGAGCCACACAAATGTCTAACCCCAGATTTGTGGAAGAGATTACATCAAATGCACGAGTGAAGTGTTTTCTAAACACATATCTAATCATTACTCTGTCGGTAAAAGAATACAAGTTAGTCAATGGCTCAATTTTTGAACACCTTATTAATACTGATTACTTTGCCACACTTTATGACACAGTACTGCTAAAAATGTTAACAAACTACTATATACATTCAATAACTATAAAATTGGTTTTACAGATTGGATCAATTATATTGCCAAACAGATTATTTTCTGCTTTAAACTGTTTTCATTTCAAATGATAAGTTGAACCATTTTTACATACTTAACTATTTAGTTGGAATGGAAATAAACACTATCCTTGAGATTACGATAATGAGCATAGATGACAGAATAACAGATAAACCAAAGGTGAAACAATTCAAGACTTTTATCTATGTATCAATAAATTTTTGTTGAATATAGATCATTTGGATACAGTTATGTAATTAATTAACATACAAATTCTTATGAGATGCATTTCTTAGTTTTTGCTCATTTTGAAGACAGTGAATTCACTTTGATCTTGATAGTCAAAATGTCTTGATGTACTCTGAACAATAATATTGACTTCTCATTTACATCTTACTATCAATCCATATTACTTATATGAATTTTATTGTGAGGAAAACAACTATATTGATCTTATATCAGACAAAATATATGAATAACAGTTAAAAAGTGGTTTAACAAGTATTGTGCATACTCACTGATGAACTACTCAACAGTTTTATTATTAGTTCAAACTGAACTTAATATCGTTTAATTAGGTAATATTATCACATCTTACATAAAGTTTAGTTTAAGGCCTAATAAACGAACGTTTACTCAGTTATTTAGTTGCATCATTAATCATCAACAATTCCTTTTATCTACCAAAGCAAAAAAACAAAGATCATTATATCTTCCATAGAAATCTTATTTAGAAAACTAGTGTAATCACGAGATTTAACCATTTTAATGATCATGTTTACTAATTTAGTAGTTATTAAGGTTTAAAACAGTTCGAGAATCAAATTTATTCACATATTGGTTGACTAATTACTGAGGTAAAACAGAAAAACAAATCAAGATTAGAAAAAATCATCTTTCTTGTTTGAAAGACTTAAGTACACTTGTGGATTAATACCCGAATGTACTTGATCATAAAATATGTGTACATAATAAATGAATAGTTAGATCTGCTTCCTAAATTTTGTGTATGCTTGAAGCCTTATATGTATTTGTGGTCTGATATTTTGGAAGAATGACTACTAATTAATAACCGGTGTTTAGCTTTTGTTTCACATATTATGATTTCTCAAGATAGTAAGTGGTGCAAGTGTAACAACAAAAATGATTTACAATTTAGTCAATGAATTTTTAGGCACTAGATGATTTCCATTTGTTATAAATATTGCGTAATAGTAAAATGTTATTCTGCTTTTTTATAGACAAGAATGTAAAAATACTGTTGAAAATTTAACGAAGTATCAAAGATTTTGTAAGAATAAGTTTGAACTATGTAAAATACTGCACTGTTTTTACAAAAACAATCAAGAGATTAGTTTTGTTAATCTTTTTTCGCTCTTGAATAACCTATAAAATAATCAAAAGTGTATTACAGTGGTTTTATCACATTTATGTAAATGAAAAAGTGTTCGACACTCAGTAATTTGGTTGGAATCTATAAAATAGTTCCTACAAGTTGCGTTAGTTTGTTAAACAATCACTTATTTTAATTCATTTTTGCATCGATTGTTTGAATCTTCCCATTGATATTTAAGATTGCAACTGGTCAGTTTCTTACTGGCATATGTGCATCCTGTGCAGATTGCCTCGATATTGCCACAGATCACAAGCATTATAAGCAGAGGTAGATGGTGGCTAGCAGTGGAACCCAAGACGCGCGTTTCGTCCTGTTCGGTACTCATCATCTGGATATACCTGCATCCAGAGTTGATGTTCACTCAGAGATTCGAACTCAGTACCGTTCGCTTCAAACACCATCGCGTTATTCACTTAGCTACTGAGTCCAAATAGCCACTAACTAAACAAAACTATCAATCTTTCTGGTGCTTTATTAACCGATATATTTTGTTCAGCACATTTATCACTAACTGAAAATTTGTAAAAACGTTGAACTCCAGAATAATAGTGTATTGTTTAAAGTTCCCCAAAGAGTCAGAACAGTGCAAGGAAAAGAATTCAGTAGAAGTTATACAAAGTAACTAAACAAAAGGTAACGGAATATGGAAAAAGTGTAACTAGAGTGAATTGGTGATCGATGTCGGAAGAAGAACGAAAAACTATACATTTACTGCTACTAGTATCAAATTTAAATATACATCTCTTCCGATTTAAAAAAAAATTGATTTCCGCCATTTTAGAAAATATGAGAAGGTTCGAATCTCCAAACTAAACTCAATTCAATAAATAACACCATTTCATGGATCAGCCTTCTGTTTTGTATTGACTACAATGAAATATAACACATCAAGTCTAAACAGTGATATAGTCCAATTAACTTAGCTGATGCCGAAACGCCATCTCCCCAATCAGTTTATATTAATCACATTAGACCAAGATAATTTAATTCTTAATTCTACAAAAGCAAGGAAATATTTTGAAAGCATTAATGATCAATTACCAATTTATATTCATTGATGTCTTATAAATCAAATTGCACAGACCAACTTGTTATCTTGTGTATATTAAAAACAGTTTATTAAAACGGCATCAGTGATGAGAATTATTGTTTTTATGTTTTAAATTCAGGCAAAAACTTTATTTAATATTTTTGAAAAATTGGATCAAAATGATTGTATTCACTTTAAGCTACAAGCTAATTAACACTGACTCACGAAAACATTTATTAAATAATAACTGTAAGTCTGTACTTGAATTCATATATGTCCCCATAGAAATAAGATAAAGCATAACTGTAATGAGTTAGGTACGATAGATAAAAGCGAACGGATCACATGAAATGAACTAGGTGAACTCCAGTAGACTTTATTCATGAAATTCGTCACCTGTCCTGATGAAAGTAAGTATTTGATTTAAAACCAAACATTAAGCCTAATATTAAGTTTTGCGAGTGATTATATATATAATTAGATCAACTTCAATGGAAAAATAGTGTTACCAAGACGACAGCATCATATAAGGGAATTATCAATATATGGACATAAATTTTACACCTAGATATTAACTATACGAGGTACTTAGAAAATAAATCCAACTTACCCCCTATATGAAGCAGTTAAATAAAGCGCGTACTGCCTTGATGTGCGATGAAACTGTTTATGTATGACCAGTTGAGGTACACGGTTATTAATAATTTTTATCAGCCAGTCAACAATCTCTTCGGAAAGTTCTGTTTTAAATATTACTACAACATCACAATCTGTAGATGGTACAGTTGACAGACGTCGCCACTTTTGTGTACGATTTATAACATTTTTGCTTGTTTGAGTTACTTGTTTTTGTAAATCAGCTAACTTCTCTATAATGTAAAAGGTAAAAAGAAAATTACCCGTCAAAATGTAGGGTTGATTAGAAGAAACGAGACATAAATAAAGAGTTATTGGAAGAGTAATTTATATGTGAACCAAGGAACTTTGATCCAAAGGTTAATAAATAGAATGGATATCATTCGAAAGGCAATTTTCCTTATCGTTTAAACGCAGTCAAACATCTACTACAACATTTGAAAGATAAGGCGAGTATTCAAATAATACTTGGAGACATACATTATTGATGAAAATCAGGAACGTAACGTTTCAATTCGAGCACTCCAGTCTTTAAACTACTGACCGACAGTATCAAGAGGTTTATTTTAAAGGATCAACTTGGCTAACACATGGTCTATCTTCCACATATTTCTTTCTATTTTTCATATAACCTTTTATTTTGATGCTAGTTGTCTGAATTTTTAATACATCCAAATAACATTTCAATTAAAAAGTACCAACGTGAAGAACAAGATATGACAGTTAGTCACAAAAAATTAAAGTTATATCTATGGAATGAGAAGTTGTATCCATGATCACAAAAATAGGCGAATGAAAATAAAGGAAATTTTTAGATTCGGAGAAATATTGATAATTAGTGCAGCTGCATGTATTTCCGAAGCTTCATGCTTCTGTTTATGTTCAAAAAAATTTGGCAACAAACGTAATGGATTTATAACAAATAGTTTTGAAAGGTTGCATTGTGAAGAGGATGATCTAGGAAGAACAAAGTGTGGGAACCACAGATGAAGGGTTATACCTTGGAATTTATATTGAGATGACCTAGATAAAATAGGTTAGAATTTAGACAAGAAAAGCAGATATTAAAGTAAGAAGGTAGAGGGATAAGAACCGCTGATTATTTATTAGTATAAAAATAGTATGATATATTTATTGTCTCAGTACGAAATGAGTGAGCAAAGTGCTTCGGGCGTCATTAAGTGCATCGTAAGCAATTGAATACCCGTAGCTAAATTGATTCAGTCAAGTATGGATATCTTAAATCAGTATATGGAGAGGGTAGTTAGACGGAATGGAAGGAGAATGGATAAAAATACCAATTGTTATGAAGAAAGAAGACATTCGGTGGTCCGGTAATACGCAAACAATCCTTTGAAAAGACCTATGGCCAAACACAAGGGACCTATGCATGTTTTATGCCTTTCGAACCCAACATCTATATTCACAAAGCTATACAAACTGAAGTGTTATCCAATATACATTGACTTCTATCGGTTAAAAGATATAGTCTGAGTCAGCAATGGCTTATATTAGCAAATATCAAGCGAGTTGGCTTTGTGTGTGACAAGATTTTACCAGTTATCGGTTCATCAAGGCAGTTGGGTACATAACATATGAGTTGTCAATGCGCCCGACTACTTTAATTCTGATAAGACTAGTGATGGAAAGCAAATGAATCCAAAACATCCTTGCATCATTGGTCGACGTGTTTGAAAAGTTCCATATTTCTTCATCTCACGTCACATACAATAAGAATAACCAGAATGATTTAACATCCGTGCATCTGAAGATTCATCAGTGATTCATCGTAATCTCCTAAATATAGGTATAGGATTAGTTTTGAATGGACAAATCGGACTGAATTCCAGTTAACAACGTGATAAAGTGAGGTAATAAGCACCCAGGAGGGCAAAGACACATTGTGAAAATTACTCAATTTTTTTCCTTATGCTCTCACTGATACCCTTAAAGATAGATAAGCGGGGTTAAGGGTCAAAAGATAATGAAGATGACGGCTAGCCCAACGTGATCCATTTTAGGGGCCCTTAATCTAACACCAGTTGGATTGTATGCTGATTTTCATTGAAATATACATATCGCCAATCCTCGTATATAATCATCGACTTAACTCACGTTGGCTAAGACTGGAATTAAACAAGTCAAATACGAGAATGGATTTTTGAATAGGTATATTTCGTACAAACGTTGATCGGAAAGCGAAGCAAATCGAAATAACGGACAGTGAAGAAGGCATGTGAGCGAATATAATTTAATCAAGCGTTAATCGGTATTTATAGTCAGGTAAAAATAAGCTAAAGGCATGAGTAGGATAAGATGTGCACACACACACACACGCTCATATAAAAAGTCAAGGTTGATAAGCGAATAATTGACAAGATCAAAATGTGACTCAAGAATAATGAATAAATTGTCCTGTCCGTAGGCTAAAATAAGTTATGTGGGATTAACATAGCAACCGATGTTACATAAGAACGATCTCGGACTGGTGATCATTGGTCTTGTGTTTCTCCTCTTCGTTCCGGTGTTCGTCTTCCTATGCTAATGAGGTGTGGCAACTTGGACCGATGCATGTATGTGCCTAGTCCTACGTTGTAACTGGCCGACCACTTTGTTCGAGGCTGGTTAGTGTTGGACCAGCCGTCAAGCGCAGAGTAACAGTCTGCTCGTCCTTGTCGCATACTGGTTACTTGTGATGGTCTTTGATTAACAGTCGGTCATAGGACATAACAATTTTATTACGACTCCAAACAAGGTTATTCGAAATATGTCACAATATTAGGTAATAAACTTACTGTGACACTCATCTAGAATTGTCATTTCTCAGAGATTCACCTTAAAATGCAGCATATTAAACGGTTTGTCGTCACTCTGAGTAACAGATTGAGAAATACAGAAAGAAAATAAAGTAGCACCAGTCGCAATAAAAATATTACTCATAGACAATTAGATGATAAACAATTTCGGTATATTGAGTAAGATTTCAATGTGTAAACAAGAAAATTGCAAGAGCGATTTACTAATAAGCCTTATCTCTACGACAAGTACGCAAATCCAAAAATAGAAATTATCTCATACGCCTGAGTTAAAATAAGTCAGTCTGTGTAGTCATGCAATGGTTTAAATTATCATACCACAGACTACCACGAAAGTGATTAACGAAACACAAAAGTGCCGGACAATCTGCTATGTATTAATTTATATGTCAGAGCTGAAATAAACTAGTTGGCTAGCGCTAGCCACTGAGATACACTTCTTCATAACTATCTCCAAGGAAATTGTGATTCGCAGTCTGATACATGACCTTAGGGTGTTAAACGTTTATGATCAGCTGAGGATACCATGTATGGACTAAAGTTATTCGTTAAATTGGCATAACAAAACATCTTTCGTATTTGGTGATGAAACGACAACATCCGTAGCACTGCATGTACAAAAAACCACCATAACTTAATAACCTACAAGCGGACTTTAGCATACTTTGTATTTCGAACCTCCTGACAATTTTGTAAAGACATTTTTATTGTGGTTGAGAGTAGACTAATAAAACTATCGTGTAATCGAATGAAACCATACACCTTTTGAAAATGCTGGTCAAATGGACGACGAATACACCTTATAAGAATAATAATGTGAATCTCTCAATGAATACCAAGTATAATCAAATATATGCACATAAAACCATACCAACTGCTACAAAGTCACCACATTATTTGAAAAACTGCTAAGGTCGATTTCGGAACAAAGTTTTGTAACGTAGCTAATACAAACTTTAAAACTTTTACATCGTCAGCATGTAGTAACATTGAGGACTCAACTATACTTAGGAGTTCGTTTACCTACAATATAAAAAGTACATGACCTGTACAAAATCTTGAGGTAATCCACTAAGTACTGGTTTCCAGGATAAGCATTTGGAATCTATTGTTACTCACCAAGAATTCCTTAGTCTTAAGAAAAGTCCAACAATTCCCGGATTTTCCAGCTTCAAGAGTAATATATTTTTCGGCGTATTAACAAATGCTTCGCTGAAGCCTGTGTAGGCAGCACTCACTAATTATCTATTATCCAGAGCTTCTGTCCATTTCCCTCCTGATATAAGAAGGTTTGTCGTACAGGATGAATGTTTTCTGAAACCGTGGTGCTCGTTGTTTAGTAAGTTGTTGTTTTCCATCAATGTCATTATGCTCTTCTTGACTATTCTTTCCAGTATCTTAACTACAACACTGGTGAGGCTGACAGGTTTGTAGTTTAATGGAAGTTGTCTTGATCCTGTTATATGTATTGGAGTAACGATTACATCCTTCCAGTAGGTGGGTTCACAACTTGAACGAGTGACATATTGCCTATCGTATTTATTAGATCTTCAATGTATTGTGTAATTTGTTTCAAGATTAGGAGTTGTAGTTCATCTGGTCCTGTTGACTTTTCTTGCCTAAAGCACTAAGGGGCTTAAGTATATCGTCTTGATTTAAGTCTGTTGTGATCAGACGGTTCGTTAACTTTGTATTTGGGTCTAGTGCTTCGTCCAGAAGAAGCTCCTGAGTGAAAACTGTCTCAAAATAGTTCGTCATTGCCTCATTTAAGGTACAATCCCTTCCGCGATTAGGTCGGTAATCCAATGATGCGTCCTTGTTAAGTAATTTGTGCTAGAATAGTCTCTTAAGCTGCTTCATTGAAGATTGTGCCAACTGAATTTCATATTTTCTCTGTACTTCCCGGATATTAATTAAACGCTTGTTCCTTAACATCCTGCACCATTCCATCGTACTTGCTGTGCCAAGGCTGATGGCAACGTTCAAACATTTCTTCTTTTGTCTTTGTAAATGTTGAATATCGTGGACTATCCAGGGATGGCCGTGCTTCTTCTTCTTTCTTGGAACTGTCCAGGGTATATATGGTGTGGTTACCTGGTTGTATAACTGCTTGAAATGAGTGCATGCCTCTTGTACTGATGCCCCTGAGTTGATTTCCCAGTTTTCAGCCGATGCTGCAGAGTTTATCTCCTACGTATCTGCCTTCCATATGTAAGGATGGGCCTGCAAAACTTATTGACTATCCATCTCAGCCATGAATTTGAATAAGACATCTGTATGATCGCTTCTCCCTAGAGGTTGTAGGAAAGTCATTTGACAAACGACATTAGCGTGTGTGATGACTTAGTCCAAGAGAGACGAGGAGCTACGTAGTTCATGTATGATAGGGTCTCATATCGAGATTTAATCCAATGGAGATTCCAACCAATAATTGGTATGCTTCTGCAGTGTTGCCTATCCTTATTTTGAATTGAAAAACAGGGGTTAAAACCATTCGTTACTAAGGTGAAGTTAGCGACCTAATGACCACCTCGGCTTTAAAGAATGATGATAAAAGGCCAAGTGACTTTGTTCTTATTCTTGTAGCACTATGAAGATAAAATGACACCTTTAGCTTATTACAAGGTCCAATATCACTCTTTAGAGGTTCGTGATGGACACAAAGTTGCTTTATGTACTGTGGGAGCACGTAAAATAGTGTGTGAAGGCTGGAAAATAGGACATAAGAAACAGTAAATCGACGACTCAGCAAGTGAACACAATACGCCTACATTTAGTTCAGAAAGCAATAGATAACAATCGGCAATAACGCGAGTAAATCCTGAATCCACCTAAAGTCTATTCACATAGGTGATATCATACTTGACAGACTTTATTTCTAATGATCATCGGTTACTCGTCACTTTTCTCCGCGAAAAGAACGTTTAAGAACCAAACAAAATTCATTTAGCTATCCATGAATGTTGGTTTTATGTTTTACACTTGAAAATCATATCGAAAAACCGTCAGCCAATCCAAAGTTTTAAAATGAAAATTTGTACTAATTCAGAGGGGATCTTTGAATGAACATATTACGGTTTTCAAAGCTCTTAGCTACTATGAATCATCCTAGTTTGGTTGTTCAGTTATCATACGGATGTTCGTTGGACGTTTCATTAGTGAACAGGACCAAGCAGAACCATTATCTAAATAAAGAGAATGAGGGAACTTTCTAAAACTTCAGAAGGTTTTCACAGTATTTGCTTTTTAAAAGGCAAGTCGTCGTGTTTCAACTTTATTATTCCACGTAAACAAGATCAAAACCACACATAGTAAACTGTAATTTCAAGCACTTTTGTCCAAGTCCTAAATTACGACAGATATTATACTTAAGTTCTTCAGCTAGGAATTCAGGTGTTCCTAACTTTTCAATAGTAGGCCACTGAGTTTTATATATTGATACCCCAAGTACGGCCGTTCTATAAGGAATAAGTGGCACCGTTTCTTCTATATTTTAAATGGGATCTGGTGCGATAATTATGTGTCATGTTAGAAAGTGACATATACCTTTCGTAGGAATAAAATGCGTGGCTTTTTGAATGTAATACAATACATCACGAACTGAAAGGATCACATTTAATAATAATAATGTAAATGAATATTATAAACTTTAATCTGCATAAGCTTACCTGAAAATGGTTTCAGAGGATTACTTCTGTGGTACTCGACGAACATTAAATTTGTAAAAAAATATATTTTATGTTCAATTTAATATGTCAGACATGAACTCATTTTTAGACTTAATATAAACTCACCTCTTTTCAAAAGAATCAGAAAGTAAGTGACATTGTTGTCACATCGATGACACTTTCATCATTGTCGATCAGAGCCTCAGTAAATAACTCTCAATTCAGTTTTACGCTGTGCACTAGGCAATCAATTTCATTGATGTATACGAATGTGACGGCAAATTTAATTTCCTTGATATCTTGGTTAGTGGACAGACGAATTGTTTATCAGAAGCAGGCATAAGAAGTATTATTTTGTGTGTCTCAACACCCACATTTGTTTAGTTTTACATACATTCGCTTCAAAAGCATCTGGTTAGGTTTTTTTAAGCGGAACAAAAAATATCTTCTTGATAAAGTAATTTAAATTTATTGTTCAAAATCTAATGGAATATGCTACCTACAAAATTTTCAATGAACCATATGTAGAATCAATTAGTGAACACTACTGGGCGAATATGTAGAAAATACTTTTGTTTGTTCTTTCTTATGACCAGCCCTTCGAACTGCCGTAGTATGTGCTGTTTTTGTTTTATTGTGTGTATTTTGAGACTGATCGTAGCTGTCATTACTAAATTGCTCACGAATCCCGAATTATAATGTTCCGAATTATTTGAATTATAGTACGAACTAGGGGTCCCAGAAATAATGCAACTGAATCAGGAAGTCCTAGATAAGCACAAACGAATTTACTGTATTTAGAATTCGAAACCAAGCATCCAACAAGTACAAAGGTATCATCAGTTCATTCAAACACCACATCCGCCCCAGCTTAAATTAGAGTCTAAGTAATTTTAGTCCATTGTACGTTTTCTTAAGTTCATCCTGTGTCTGTCCGACAGTGTATTGGATAAAAACTCTGTAGTATATAGAATGTGCTCATTAGTGCTGGAATTAACAAGCGAAATCGGAACAGACTCACCTGCTTCATGGGATTGTGTAATCAGCATTTCGGTTGTGTACTGAAACCGCTGCTGCCTAGAATTTCAACCATAAACTTAGACTATCCTCCCCCATGAAATAATACCGGACCCTAATATTTACAATTTATGAATGATGTGGCTTCATTTAGAACATATTTTTCACATTGGATAGAGTAAACGTTAGAATTGTTTTGTGATAAGGATAAACAGCAGTTGATATGAAACCCTTTGAATTGTAATCAAAATCGAGCTCATTTAGTACTTGTGCTTCACATTAAACAAGTTTCCCACAAGAAACAAATGCATTATGAAGACAAATAATAATTGATATGGCATCAAGATTTGATTCTTCTGAAATAGTTTCCTCAAATTTATTAGGAATGTCATTGCAGAGCATAGGATCGTTAGAAAAATTAGCACCCATCAAAACTACACCAAGTTTTCGATCATAATTATGTTCACTCAACATATTTTCCTCAGATTAGCAAGGAATTTCTTCAGAAATAAGTGAAACATTGGGAAAAACCACATCTGGTGCAATAACATGATAAATCTGATAAGATGGTTGATTGAGAACTGTTGTCTCGCAAGAATTCTGAATTCCATTTAACTCTGAACTACCATAAGACTCTACACTGTCTTTTGAAACTGGCGATAAAGATAGATGATCGTTAGGAATACTAGACTTAATAGAATCAGAATTACAAGACTTAATATTCGTTGCAGGAAGATGAACAGTAGTTTTAAAAACTGGCCGGATATGTCCAATATCACTGCATTTATAGCACTTAGAATTACGAAATTTACATGAATTAAAAGAGTGGAACCTGCCACTGGACAAACATTGACCAAACGTGTGCCCATCTTCACGAACTGCATCGCAACTCCTCAATGAATTATCTGCATAACTTTGAGTATACACTAGGTTGGGATAACGTAATACAGTGGAATTTTTTATATCCTCATGAATCACTTTACTAAACCTTCCTCCTTTACGACATTCGAAATTTGTATGCTGAACATAGTCTAGCAGTAGATCCTTGAGAGCTGTATAAGGAAGCGAAATGGGCTATTCCGGTAAAGCCAGAGTTTTTAATAAGCTATGTGCTTCTATTCCGATGAATGTGGGGAAATGTGCTACAATATTAACATCCTCATCATCTTCCTTGGTCATAGCCCAGATTTCAAACCTTTCAAAGAAATCCTCAAAAGCTTCA